TGAAGGGGCTCTGCTTCCTGGGGAGGCTTCGTAGCACCCTGGGGCTTCTCTCTTCCAGCCCTGGAGGGGCTTGGCTGTGCTCGGCCCAGAGCTGGAGGGAGGATCCCTCGAGCCTGTGGCAGCCAGTCTGCACTCAGGTCCTCCTTTCCCTCTGCGATGGCTGGTGCTGTGCTGCAGAGGGACCACGAGAGACAGGCCCTGTGCTCTTCCAGCGGGTCCCCTTGCCTCTCCTGCCCCTGCAGCTCTCCACCACGCTGTAGCCTCCCCAGGAGTTAGCATATCCTGGGGTGGGGGGGTGTTCACACTTGTCGCCCACGGCCTGGCAGGAGGCTGCGGATGGGTGTGAGGAGTGAGGGCAGCTTGGCTGGAGTGCTGGGTCCCCAGCAGCCTGGATACAGTGGCTGCTCAGACCTCTGGCCGGCCCTTGCCTTCAGAGAGTCCTGAATCCTGACCTGAAATACGCAGGAAGGCCCTCCTGCAGCACGCGGGGCTCTCCCTGCTCATCCTTCCTTCTGTACCCACAGGGATGGGCTCCAGGATCCCCTGCAGATACTGAAGTCCACGGGTGCTCTGGCCCCTTCTGCGAAGCAGCACAGTGTTTGCCTAAAACCTGCACGCACCCTCGCACGCTCTGCATCATCTCTGGGTTACTTAGGCTACTGAGTGCCATGTAACTGGTATTTAAAGAGTTGTTACACTGTATCGTTTAGGGAAGAGTCGCAAGAAGTCTACACATGTTCAGTAGTGGTGCTGTTTTTTTTTTTTCCCTGAATATTGAATTGACTGAATCCATGGATGCAGAATTCACAGCCAGCTGTACTAGGAGTGTGGCTTTAAAAGCTCCCCCACCCCAGAAAGCAGTCCAGCCACTGCCCCCACTCAGCACCCCTTTCTTCTGCATCCCATTGGTGTGACTCTTGTTCTGAGCCCCAGGCTGGCCCCACCTCCTCAGGTCCTCCTCTGTCTCCTCCCTACTCCTTGCCCCGCCCCCAGGGGGTGGGGAAAAGACAGTGGATGATCATTCACCCTACCTCGCCTCCACAGGTCAGCCTGTCTGCTGAGATTCAAGCCAGACAGACGGACCCCCCACCAGTGGGGGCCCTGGAGTGAGATTGGAGGCCCAGCACCCAAGACCTCTGTGGCTACACTGACCAGTAACACAGGGGAGATGCAAGTCCCGAACAGGCCAGTGCCATCTGCAAACAAGGACACCCCAGGTCTCAGTTTCCTCCTATGTTCCAGGGTTGCTGGCGCCTGGGCTCGCAGGCTGATGGTGACGTGGGGGAAGCACCCGCCTCCTTGCCCCTACTCCCTGCTGCCATTACTGGCCTGGCAGGTCCCACCCCCTCGTTTGTCAAAGACTCGCTCCTGGCTACACGCTTCCTCCTCCCCAAGCCCTCTGCCATTCTCTCGGATGACGTCACCAAGCAAGCAGAGGGTGACCCTGCCATGCCCTGGCCTCTCACCGCCTTGGGTGTCCCACTTCCTCACCCTCATCCCCTTCAGCCACCTGCTCCACCTCAGGCCAGCTCCCACCAGACCGGCTCTTCTCACGGCCCACAATCCTTTGCTCAGTTCACCCGGCCTGCCCTGTCTCGTCTTCTCTCCAGGACCCACTACAGGCACCGCCATCTAAGATCTGAGGTTTCCTTGTCTTTCATCTTGGTCATCCCAATGCCGTATGAAGCCAGCCATGCCCTTTCTCTGCATCCAGACCCCAGTGGTCCAGCACTATGGTGGGGGGGGGGGGTTGGGGGGAGCGGTCAGTCAGCAGGGCTGATTGGCTTCCTATAACCCCTGCTCTCCAGCCATCAAACCTCTTCACTAACTACAGAAACTGTCTTTCCACTGTGTGTAATTATTCCCATGTCCATTGCGCCAGCAGAGGCCCTGGCTTCCTCCTCATCGGTTGCCAGAAGCTGCCACCAGGAAGTCCTCCAGCTTCTCGGGCTGACACTGGGGGCCTGCCCTCCTCTCTGCTGCCCCAGCAGACGGCTGCCCGGCCCCGGGCTTCTCTCACCTCTGCCCCTCCCCCCACCTCTCAAGAATCTTACTGTGTGGAGGAGCCCTGCCTGCCAACTGAGTGTTTCCAGGCCTTTAATACATGCAACCCCTCCCATCCCGAGAAAGGGGTGGGGAGAGGAAGGCGGAGGAGGAAGGAGAAAGAAAGAAAAAAGGGAGACAAGGGGCTGGCGCTGTGGTGTAGCGGGTTAAGCCGCTGCCTGCAATGCTGGCATCCCATAAGGGAGCCCGTTCATGCACCAGCTGTTCTACTTTATCCAGCTCCCTCCTAATGCACTTGGGAAAGCAGTGGAGGATGGCCCAAGTGCTTGGGCCCCTGCATGCTCATGGGAGACTCAGAGGCTCCTGGAGTCAGCCTAGCCCAGCCCCAGCCATTGCAGCCATCAGGGGAGTGAACCAGCAGATAAAAGCCACCACCCACCCCACCACCATAACTCTGCCTTTCAAATAAATAAAATAAAAAATTTTAAGAAAGGAAGGGCGGCCGGCGCCGCGGCTCAATAGGCTAATCCTCCACCTAGCGGCGCCGGCACACTGGGTTCTAGTCCCGGTCAGGGCGCCGGATTCTGTCCCGGTTGCTCCTCTTCCAGGTCAGCTCTCTGCTGTGGCCAGGGAGTGCAGTGGAGGATGGCCCAAATACTTGGGCCCTGCACCCGCATGGAAGACCAGGAGAAGCACCTGGCTCCTGGCTTCGGATCAGCGTGATGCGCCGGCTGAAACGCGGTAGCCATTGGAGGGTGAACCAACGGCAAAAGGAAGACCTTTCTCTCTGTCTCTCTCTCTCACTGTCCACTCTGCCTGTCAAAGATAAAAAAATAAATAAATAAATAAATAAATAGAAAGAAAGAAAGGAAGGGCATGTGGCATAGCGGGTAAAGCCGCTGCCTGCAATGCCAGCATCCCATATGGATGCTGGTTCGAGTCCCAGCTGCTACACTTCCAATCCAGCTCTCTACTATGGCCTGGGAAAGCAGTGGAAGATGGCCCAAGTCCTTGGGCCCCTGCACCCGTGTGGGAGACCCAGAAGAAGCTTCTGGCTCCTGGCTTCAGATTGGTCCAGCTCTGGCTGTTGCAGCCAATTTGGGAGTGAACCAGCAGATGGAAGACCTCTCTCTCTCTGCCCCTCCTTTTCTCTGTGTGTAACTCTGACTTCAAATAAATAAATCATAAAAATAAAGAAAAGAAGGGCAGAAGGAAGAGAGAACGGGGGGAGGAGAGAGACTCCTCTCTCAGTCCTCACTCACATTTCCAGCTCTCAATCTCCTTCCCTACGGCCCAACTTCTTCCAAAGAGCTGCCTTTGCTATTTGAGGGGTTGTCAAACCATTCATGGGAAAGGAATTAAAGACAGGTTCAAAGTTGGATGCAAAAGCAATTTGAAAGGCAGTTCGACTGTCCTGTCCTTCCTTGCTGTCTTTGTCTGCTTGGACCGCTGTGAAACCATGGATGGGAGCACCTGTCAGCCGCAGACCTGGAGGCGGGGCGGTGGGCTGAAGGTGCCCACTCAGGGGTGATTTCCTAGGGGAGACCTTCCTGGAGGTCACTGCCGGCACTAGCTATCATCACTGTGTATGTCAGCGTGTGATGGTAGCGGTCTATTTTCCTAGAATGTGGGTGCACAGGAGCAGAGGTGTATGCATTTTTGTCACCTTTGTAAGCCCAGCATCTGGCAAAGCACAAATGCTCAGTGAACGAGGATTTACAGAGCACCAAGGGTTGGCCGTGGTGATGCGCTGCGCTATGACTCCTGGGAGTGCTTGGGGTTGAGTTCCACCTCTGCTGCAGATCTGGCTTCCTGCTGATGCGCCTGGGAGGCAGCAGGTGATGGCTCATGCTCTTCACGGCACGAAGGCAGCCCATCCCCGGCTGAGTCTGGGCTGAGTCTAGGCCTGCCCCATGGAGGAGGACGGCCCTGAAATCAGAGAGAAGCTGAATAAACCACACCCGTCCTGGCACTTAGGGGCCAGGTGTGTGGGCACCGCCTGACTGCTGGGCAAGCTACAGGGAAGGGGGAAGGACGCAGACTCGGCCCAAACGGAACCCGGGCCACGCAGAAGGGGGTGGAGGGGTGGGAAGGCGGCTGCGCCCCCTCCTCTGCAGGAGCCCCCCAGGGCGCAAGGGCCGCCCTCCCCCGGCCCCTGCTTCCCAGTCTGCGGGCTTGACCCGCGGGACCCCCACACCGCCAGGATGGTGGAGCGACGGCAATCTTCGGCAAGAAGCACCGGAGACAAGTGTCGGTGAACTCATCCTCTGTATTAACGACCATGCACACCTTTTAAAGGGCAGGCAGAAGGGGCGTAACTAATTCAGGGCAACACTAGTTCTATAGGAGAGAACCGACATGGGCACCTCTATGCTTCTCCAATCGGCTTGAGGGTCTCGTAGCTGGGATAGCTTTCCAGGTGGTCCTAATGGGCCCGGGCCGCACCCAGGAGCTGTTTACTTGATTGGCAATTACAGGACCCTACAGGGAGTGGGGGGAGTGCCTGGGGCTCCCACCGCCTGCCAGCCAGCAGTCAGGTTGTGGGGGCCCTCCCGGCAGGCATGGTGTGCCACGCCTCTCAGCCTCCTGCATGGGTAGGGCAGGCAGACTCCCCGCCAGGTACAGGATCCCCCACACACACCAAGGACCAAGCCAGGAAGCTTCCCTCATGTTCCAGATGGGAAGACCAGGTAAGAGGCGGGGGCAAAGCTGGGCTGAGGCTGACGAGGGAGCCCCAGGGCCATGGGGGCTGGGAGCTGGGAACCAAGTTCTCTGCCCAGCCCAGCCCAGGCCGATCCCTGAGCACGGTTTGCTCATCAGCCTCCACCCCCGCCGGGGGTCGCGGGGCCAGGCCAGGCGAGGAGCCACTGGCGTCACTGGGCACAGAGCCCTGCTCCACGTCCAGGAAGCCTGGTCCCCCCGGGTGGGATTTACGAGTGGCTGCCGCGCCTCTGGCCCCGTGCAATAAATCAGGACCCTGCGGGACGGTGAGCATGCCTCGTGCCGGTGTATAAAGGAAGAAGGACCAGGGAGCCCCAGGCTGCAGTGGAGCCAGCGTGAGCGAGCTCGGCCCCGGGAGCAGAATGCCTCGCTGGGGACTCCTGCTGGTACTCTGGGGCTCCTGCACCTTGGGTCTCCCCGCTGACACCAGCGCCTTCAGAAGGTAACTCGGGCAGGGAAGGGGCGGCAGGGACTTGGAGGCTCCCACCTTCCTGGCACCCGGTCAGCTATGTGGTGCCGATTCGTCCTCATGACCAGCTGGGCAAGGAGATGTAGTCCTGTTCAGAGAGGGCAAGCAGCTTGCCCAGTGTCACACAGCCCGGCAGCCATGCCTTCTGGACCCTACCTGGGGCACGGGGGAGTGGGGCGGAGCTCAGAGATGATTGAGATGTGGTTCTGGCCCTCCCCCACCCCCCAGCTCACAGCCTGGTGTTAGGAAGGGCGTGAGGGATGGGTAGTGTAAACTCTGCCAGGGAAGCAGGCTAAATGCACACCTTGCAAAGGTGGCCCATCTGGTTCAAATTCTGCTCTACCTCTGGAACCCTGCACATGCTACTTAACCTCGTCAAGTCTCCGTTTGCCATTTTTAAAATTTATATTTAGGGGCCAGCACTGTGGCATAGCAGGCGAAGCACCTTCCTGAGTTGCCAGCATCCCATATGGGCACCAGTTTGAGTCCCGGCTGCTCTACTTCTGATTCCAGCTCCCTGTTAATGGCCTGGGGAAGGCAGTGGAAGATGGCCCAAGTCCTTGGGCCCCTGCACCCATGTGGGAGACCTGAAGAAGCTCCTGGCTTCGGATCTGCCAGCTCTGGCTATTGTGGCCATTTGGGGAGTGAACCAGCAGATGGAAGACCCCCTCTCTGTCTCCTTCTCTCTTTCTGTAACTCTGCCTCTCAAGTAAATAAATAGATCTTTTTTAAAAAAAAATCTATTTTGAAAGGCAAGGTGATGGGAGGAGAGAGAGAAGAGAGAGATCTTTCATCCACTGGTTCACCCCTCAAATGCCCATGGAGTCAGGGCTGGGCCAGGCTGAAGCTAGAAACTCTATCCGGGACTCCCAGATGGGCAGCAGGAGCCCAAGGACTTGGGCCATCATCTGCTGCCTTCCAGGCCATTAGCATGGAGTTGGATCGAAAGCAGAGCAGCTGGGACTTGAACCTGCACTTCAATAGGGAACTTAGGCATCCCAAGGGCTGGCTTAACCCGCTGTGCCACAGTGCCTGCCTGCAGCTGGAGGAATTGTGCTGCCCGCCCTGTGCAGAGTGGAGAAGGCACTTGGGGAGGTCTGAATCGATGTGCTGCGTTCTCAAGGTGCTGTCGCTGCCATACACCCCAGGACTCACAGGGACTGCGCAGGGGGCAGCGGGCTTGGGCTGCAGAGTTGTGCTGGGGTAGACACCACCGTTAGACCCATTTTCATAGGGAAGCAAATGAGGGTCTTAAAAGGCCCAGAGAGGTTAGGCAGCTTGCTTAGAGTCACACAGGGGTTTCAAGCTCTGTGTGCTTCCCCACCATATGGCACTGCCTCCCTGGGCTGGTGGGGAACACCAGTGTGGACCGAGTCTTTGGGGGCAAGCTTCTAGGTCTCCCACATGGGTGCAGGAGCCCAAGGGCTTGGGCCATCTTCTACTACCTTCCTAGTCACACTAGCAGGGAGCTGGATTGGAAGTGGAGCAGCCGGGACTCGAATCAGCACCTGTACGGGATGCCAGCATCAAAGGGCGGTGCTTAACCTGCTGGGCCACAGTGCCGGCCCCAGCAAGGTTCCGGAGGCAGGGGTGTGTGCTGAACTTTGAAGAGTGAAGAACTGGGAGACAGAAGGGGTTTCCCGAAAGGGGAGTGGCAGCAAAGCCAAGGCGCTCAGCAGAGGATGTTTGGAGTGGAGTCAGAGCCTCTTCTGGGCTTAATAAAATTACCCACCCCATGGGATGAGTGAGGATCAAAGGAAACGCCACCTGTGAAGCCAGCTCGTGACCTGCACACCATGAGAGGACAGTTCCAGCACAACCTCTGGGGATAGGCACGCAGGCGGCACTCACGTTCATGGGCCGGCGCGGCGGGGGCAGGAGACATGAGTGCAGGGGGCACCCGCCAGAGGAGGAGGAGGGACTCTGTGTATAGGAAAATCTACTGCCAGGTTAAGTGGGGATTCAGTCCTGGGACCTCCTGGCCAAGGCTGGAGATGGCTTCCTCCAGGCTTCGGCAAGCAGCCTCCACGTCCGCACCCCGGGGGATCCTCTGGGAAAGACGGCCAGCCACGTGCGTCACCCCCCTGCTCCCCTGTTCCTGAGTCTCCTCCCGTAAGGACGCTAGTTTGCAGAGCTGCTGCTGTGTGGCTGGCCTGGGTGAGTGTGCACAGTTCTACATCCCTATCTGGCACCAGCTCACCGTGCTCCAGACCCCTAAGTCTCTAACTGCCTCCCAAAGGGGATGGGGAGGTGTCTGGACAAGAAGCCCAGGGACAGAGACTTAGGCCCAAGACACATCTTCCCGAGGACAAGGTGCACGGGCACCCTGCCTGGCCTGATGCTGTGGGTCTGCTCCACTCCAGCCCGTCTGGGTGCCAGCTCCCAGGTGTCCTACCGACCCTGCAGAGTGCTTTGTGTGTCTGCTGCCACCTAGAGGCCACACATGGCACTGCCTCCCTCCTTTCGGCTTGAGGGATGCTGGCCCCAGCGGGAATGGCGAGCTGTGGCTGCCTGTTTCCTTGTCTGTCTCCTGCCTGGTGGGCTTCCTTGAAGGCAGCAAGGATCTTTACCTATCTCCAGGACCCTGCATAATGCGGCTCAGAGCAGGTGTTCAATGCGTGATTATGGGATGAGTGAGCAAATAAATGGGCCATCACACAGATGGCCTCATCTAATCAAATTTAGACAACAGGGAGAGGTTAGCCAAGGATTATCTAGCACCAGGACCGGTGGCTCACAGAAGGCCCTAGGCTGGGAAGTGACCCCACGGCGCCCAGGCTGAGGTCCGCGGTGGGCTGAGACTGCGGCAGTCCCGGGGGCCAGTACAGAGTTCTGTTTCTGCTTCCTCCTCCCTGGGCCAGGATCCTCCTCAAGAAAATGCCCTCAGTCCGGGACATCCTGCAGGAGCGAGGTGTGGACATGGCCAGGCTGGGTGCCGAGTGGAGCCGGTTCACCAAGAGGCTCTCCCTGGCCAATGGCACCACCCCTGTGGTCCTCACCAACTACCTGGACGTGAGTGCCTGTCCCGCCGGGTCCCACCCCTACCCCCAAGTCCCCTTCTCTCTTGGCCCCAAGGTTTCCTTTGCCAGCAAGGCCCACTCTTCCCAAGCTGCGTTTCACCGAGGAGCCGAGGAATTGGGTTCCACCGAAGCACCCCACGGAATTCCCATTTAACAGCTGGGGAGCCCGAGGCACAGAGGGCCAGGAGGCTTAGGCTAGCACCCAGCCCAGGCTCCAGCTGGGTGGCCCTGGTGGTGGGAGGACAGTAGGACCTCAGTGGGGCATCTGGGAGCCAGCCCACCCAGCACAGCCTGATGGCCCCTGCCCCAGTGGCCCGCTGAGGGTCCTGCAGCTCCCTGCTTCATTGCTGGTGTTTGCTTCGGCTCTCTCGTCTCCCTGACCCTCCTGCATCCTGGGATGCCACAGTCCCTGCAGGAGAGCAAATCCAGAGAGACTGTGCACACTCTCCAAGCTCACCACAAGAGCCACAGCAGAGCCAAGTAGCACCCTGAGACCCAAGGCCCCCAGCCGCCTCTCTCCACCCCTACAGACCCAGTACTACGGCGAGGTGGGCATCGGCACCCCACCCCAGACCTTCAAAGTCATCTTCGACACGGGTTCGGCCAACCTCTGGGTGCCCTCCACCAAGTGCAGCCCTCTCTACACTGCCTGCGGTGAGCCCCCCGCCTGGGGCGCCTCTCCCCGAGGGCCCTGCCCTGCCCTGCCCTGCCCTGCCCTGCCTGGGAAGTCCTGCTCCACACCCCCCTGCACCCCTCCTGCTGCCAACTGCACAGCTTCCTGTCTGCCTCTGTGCCCTCTGACCCTGAGAGGAGAGGGGAAGCTGCCCTCATTTTCCCGAGGTGGCCAACGAGGGGGAACAGCAGGCTCCGGAGTCCCCTGGCCGCTCAGAAGGCCGCCTCCCAGCCCCCTGATGGGGACAGGAGTGGATTCCCACGCCCAGCCCGGACACCCGGGCCCTGCCACCCCCAGCCTCAGTCAGCAGCCTCTGTCTGAGCCTGACCCTGGGCCTAGAATCTTCTGTGATGCAGGTGGAACAAGTACTTCCAACTGCTTGGGGACAAGAACTCTCAGAGGCACTGGCACAGAGAGGGGACAAGAAACGGTCCCTGAGGGAGGGAGCACCTTTCCAGGCCTCCACCCTCAGGGCCACCCCACCCCTGCGCCTCAGCACATCCGCCCTGCCCTGCGCACCCTGCCCGGGCCTCTCTCCCTGAACTCTTGTCACCCTATAGAGATCCACAACCTCTACGACTCGGCGGAATCCTCCAGCTACCTGGAGAACGGGACGGAATTCACCATCCACTACGGATCCGGGAAGGTCAAGGGCTTCCTAAGCCAGGACATAGTGACTGTAAGTGGGGCCGTCCTCCCCCCCACCCCCCCCCCCGCCCCACAACATCTCAGCCTAGCTGGGAGCCTGGGATCTGAGGGGCACCCTCTGTGCAGCTCCAAGCTGGGGCTGCAAAGGCGCAAAGCCGAGCTGCCCGCTGGGTGATGCACCAAGTGCTGGCCTTGTCCTGAGCCCCACGGCCCACCAGCCTACCTGAGGCTCTGCCTGGGCTCGGAGCCAGACACTAGATGGAAACCCCGGGCCAGACTCGGGGTCAGAGCTCGGGTGAGAGTCTGCGATTATTGGCAGGGCCTGGCTTTCTTTTCCATCTGACCTGTGTCTGACCCTTCCCCATTCTGGAGCCTGTCTGAGTTAGGGGAGGGGTATTCACGGGGCCTAGGAGGAAATCGGAGTGGGGCCTCACCCCTCCACTCGTCTGTGAGCAGGAAAAGGGGTGGGCGGGGCAGGCTTGGCGGCCCCCTGGGGCCCCGCGGGGAAGCTGGGCTGGAGCGGGAGCTCTGGGCCATCTGCTGGGCCTGCAGCACAGATGCATGCTGGGAGAGGGGCTATGCCTGCAGGACTAGTAAAGCTGTGTGTCCCAGGGGCAGTGGGCTCAGCCTCTGTGCTGCTTCCTCCTGCAGGTGGGCGGGATCACGGTGACGCAGACATTCGGCGAGGTCACGGAGCTGCCGCTGATACCCTTCATGCTGGCCAAGTTCGACGGCGTCCTGGGCATGGGCTTCCCTGCACAGGCCGTCGGCGGGGTCACCCCTGTCTTTGACCACATCCTCTCGCAGCGCGTGCTAAAGGAGGAAGTCTTCTCTGTCTACTACAGCAGGTGGGGCTTGGCACCGCAGGGACAAGGCAGGAGAGGTGGCGGGGCAGGAGGGAGCTTGCAGAAGAAGTGGGCGGGGGCGTGGAAGGAGAGTCTGGGCAGGATCTGAGTGCGCTGGGGGCGCTCGGTCAGTATCCACAGCTGTCCCAGCCAGCATGGAAGCTGAATTTAAGTTTATTAAAATGAGATTAAATGAAGCAGGCGGTTCCTTGGTTGCACCAGCCACATTCCAAGGGCTCAGCAGCCTTGGTGCACGGTGACTCCCATATGGCAAAGTGCAGGTACAGAGCCGCCCAGGAGGTTCCAACGGGCAGCACGGAGGAGAAGGCGGGAGGGGCTCGTGGGAAACTTGGCGTCGCTGTGACCCTCCCCAGGAGGGCCGTGCTCCCCACTCTTCATTCATTCATGCACACCTTCCTCGGTCCATTTGCTCCCTCGTTGTTTGAATAAATGGTCGGTGCCACGCAGCACGTTAGGCACCAGGGCACAGCAGAGAACACAAGGAGTAAAACCCAGTCCCTGCTGTCCTGCCTGCGCTCACTTGACACAGAGACAAGGAGTGTTGCAAGGTGATGCCTGCTACAGGTGGACCCGAGGCGAGCAAGCGTGGCTTCTCGGTTCTCGGCCGAGCTAGCTTCTCTGCAGCTCAGCCAGCCGTGGGAAGCAGCTGTCAGTCCTGGGCAGGGCTGTGAGCTGCTCCAAACTGCTGAGTGGCAGGCAAGAGGTCACAAGGAGGGGGCATGAGGCCAGGGGAGACGGAGGAGGACTCTCTGGTGAGGAGGCATTGAGAAAAGGCCAGTCAGTGGCTGGCAGGCAGTGGTGGTCTGGGAAGAGCTGGCAAGGAGGAAGTGGGGCCAAGGCCATATGGCCAGCAGCTAGGAGGGGACAGAGGGCGTGGGGAAGCGGAGGTCACAAATGTAGGCTGCCCTGGGAAATCCAACAGGGATGGGAATGCGGGGTGAGATCCAGACCCAGGGAGGGGAAGGAAGGGTGGGTGTTGGTAGCGAGCTGAGGCTGCCGGAGCAGCGCTCGTAGGTGGAGGAAGGAGCCAGTGGAGAGCGGGAGCCTGCAGATGTGGAAACAGAGGCGATAAGTGGGGCACAGGAGCCTGGGAGCGTGCAAGGGCCGAGGACCCAGCGAACAGGAAGAGGGCGGGCTTCGTGGAGGGAGGGTCTGCGCCTTCATTTCCCTCCGCGTGGGGAGGAGGGGACGTCCAGAGGGACCCTGCCTCGGTGGGAATTTGTGCAAACATGATTAATTCACACCTGCACAGCACACCATGTGCCCACCCACACACCCAGGCCCACCTATGCATGTGCCTCTGTTGTGAATTCTGCAAGATCACATTACACGCATTCATGCACGCTTGCAAGCTCTGGAAACCGGCCCTGAGGCAGCCCCTGAGCCATGGGAGACTTATGCAGGGTGGAGGAGGGGAGGGCAGGGGAAAGTGGCTTCCCACCGGGCACCAGGAACCCTGGAGCCAGTCCCCAGCTCGTCCACTCATGGCCTGGGTGACTTGAGGCCAAGCAACTTCACCTCTTGGTGACTCCGAGTGTAGAGAGGCTGCCAGCAGCAGGGCCGTGGGCTACCTGAAAGCATGGCTTCCTCTCTGCCGGCTCTTTCTTTGCAGAAAACCCACCACGTGGCCTTGACCCTCACGCCCGACCCAGACTCCCACACACCTCCCCCAAAGCCCCCCTCAGCAAGCCCGGGCTGCGCAGGATGCTGATCCCCACTGTCGGTCCCTCCCACCTGCCCCCCCCCCACCTGTCACCATGCAGCCTGCCCCGAGTCCTTCGCTGTGCACCTGCTCGACAGCAGCCCACACCCTGGGGGGGGGGGGGAGGGCTTGTGTCTGGTTTGCATCTCCTCGCTGTCCCTGGGCCTGTCCCTTCCCTGGGGACGCCTTTGGGGCACAGCTGGACTGCCCTGGAAGATGTTCTGGCTGGGCTCTGGGAGGAGCAAGCCCGGCACAGAAGCGGAGCTCTCTGGACGGTTCCCGGCGACAGCCCGGAGGCACCCCCCCCCCCGCCCCGCACCCTGGCCCACTGCCCCCTTGTTGCTGACCGTCTCCAAGAGATTCTATCTTTCCTTTAGGAATTCCCACCTGCCGGGGGGAGAGATCGTGCTGGGAGGCAGCGACCCCCAGTATTACCAAGGCAACTTCCACTACGTGAGCATCAGCAAGGCTGGCTCCTGGCAGATCACCATGAAGGGGTCAGGATTCTCAGCCCTCCCCACGCCCCCAAAATGCAGCTGCCACTGGGGGCGGGGCGGGCTTATCAGGCTGCCCTCTCTGCCTGCTCCCTCCAGGGTGGGGAAGGCCACATGCCACTTGCTGTGCACGGAGGGAGGGGGCAGCATGTCCCTTCCCCCTCCCCATGGCATCATGGGACCACCAGCATGCCTTCCATCACCCATCCCCACTTGGGAAATCTCTGCACCCTGGAGGCGCCCGTCAGCCCCTGGGTGCCCCGCTGACTGCCCCGCCTCCCCAGCGTGTCTGTAGGGTCAGCCACCTTGCTGTGTGAGGAGGGCTGCATGGCGGTGGTAGACACTGGGGCATCCTACATCTCGGGGCCCACCAGCTCCCTCAGGCTGCTCACGGAGGCCCTGGGAGCCAAGGAGCAGAGCTCGGATGAAGTAAGAAGCAGGGGAGGGGGGCTGCCATGGGGAGGGTAGGCCCCCAAACCATGCCGGGTGCAACACTGGATCCCAAAAGAGGCCATTTCAGGCCTCCTCCTCCATGGGTGAGAGGAAGTGCCCTGTTCTCAGAAAGACCCTTTGTCCCCTCCAGTATGTGGTGAACTGCAACCAGGTGCCCACACTCCCCGACGTCTCCTTCCACCTGGGAGGCAGAGCCTACACACTCACGAGCAGGGACTACGTCCTCCAGGTGCGCGCAGGTGGGGAGGGTGGGCGGGGCCGAGACCAAGGCACGGGGTCTCCAATTTCTAGGACCCAGGCAACCACCCGCACCTGCTCCATCAGAACCTCCACGAGGGGCGGCCCCAGGGGGGTTCCAACCTGCAGCCATGTTTGCAAACCACGGTGCTGGTGCACCTACACGCTCAGCGTCTTCTCAGGGTTAATGGGCCGAGAGACTCTAAGTGACTTGTCCGGGGTCAGAAGTCAAGGCAGAGTTGAAGCCCTTGGAGGCAGCCCGCGGCCTGATGCATCCTTTGCCTCTTTGTCTGCTTACCCCCCCCCCGTGGGGGGTGCAAAGGGCCCAGCTGTGATGGGGGTCCAGTGGGGGTGGGGAGAAGAACTAGCAGATGGGGCTGAGAAGTTGCTCAAGGTGGTTGCTGGGGCCAGCCAGGTGATGGGGGGATGCGCCTGCTTCCTGCCAGGACCCCTACAGTAATGATGACCTGTGCACCCTGGCCCTGCATGGCCTGGACATCCCCCCGCCCACGGGGCCCGTGTGGGTGCTGGGCGCCAGCTTCATCCGCAAGTTCTACACCGAGTTTGATCGGCACAACAATCGCATTGGCTTCGCCTTGGCCCGCTGAGGCCAGCGCTGGAGCAGTCTGAGAGCCCTCCTCTGCCTGGACCTGTGCCTGTGGGGGGACATCAGGCATGGAGCTCCTGCTGGACGCCTGCCCTGCCCCCTGCGCCAGCCCTTCCCTGCTTGGAGGACAAAGAATAAAGACTTCATGTTCACAACCCATTGCACCTGAGTTCACCAGGGCTTGGAACAGAGGGAGGGGCCGCTGTGTGGTCCTGTGCGGGCAGGAATGTGGCACAGACTGACGAACCACACAGTCCTGTGCGCAGGTCCTTACCTGCAGGGACGATGCCATCGCCTGTTGTCAGCAGGGCTCGGCTGGCGTTGGTTATACAACTTCGGATGAGAAGATGCAGACTGCCAGCCCAGGCCCCCCAGGGACCCCCCGGGGACCAACGCCAGTGCCGTGGCATCGGTTGTGTGTTGAGCCTGCCAGCCCTACCTTTGCACCCCCACAACTCCCATCAGCCCCACTTCTCATCCTGGTCCTGCCCCCACGAATGGTCCCAGGCGACGCCCCCGCCCTACATGTGGGGAACCCAGAGAATTGGAAGGCATTTGCCCAGGGTTGCACAGTGAGGAGTCAGGTAAGGCAGGGTGCTGAATGGTAGTGAACAATCAAGGCAGGAACCTGGCCCGCCTCGGTTCCTGGGAGCTCCCCGCTGGCCACATGCCACTGGTCCTGAAGCCGGGACAGAGCTCCACATACCCTGGTAGGGGCCCCATGCATAGCACATGGACATGGGAAACCACTCCCCCCAGGCTGGAGTCCCCCCCCCACACACCTTATCCCTTGGCTGTCTATAGCCTGGGGCCAGAGAAGTTGTCTCTTCTCCATGGCTGCTCTACCCATTTTCTCTTTTTAATATCTTTCCTTATTTTTATTTAAGGCAAATAGTCACAAACAGATCTTCCAATGGTCAGTTTATTCCCCCCAAGTGCCCACTACAGTTAGGGCTGGACCTTGCTGAAGCCAGGAGCTGGGAGCCCAGTTGGGGTCTTTCACAGGGATGGCAGGGACTTAAGTACCTGACCCATCACCTGCTGCCTCCTAGGATACACTAGCAGGAAACGGGAACTGGGAACACTGGGCAAAAACCTAGACACTCTGGTGGAGGAAGCAGGCATCCCAGGTGGCATCCTAGCCGCTGGGCCAAACCCTTGCCCCTAGCATTGTGTTCCGCCAGGCCAAACCACCTGTAGAACTGCAGCTGCCGGGGTGCGGTGGAACCCCCAGACTGCTCTAGGGCAGTATTCTATTTTTAAGATTGATTTATTTATTTGGAAAGTAGAATTACAGAGAGAGGAAGTGACAGAGATGTTCTATCCACTAGTGCACTCCCCAAATAGCCACAACAGCAGGAGCTGGGCCAGGCTGGAGGCAGGAGCCTTGGAACTCCATCTGGGTCTCCCACATGGGCGCAGGGGCCCCAAGTTCTTGGGCCGTCTTCCGCTGCTGTCCCAGGCTCATTAGCAGGGAGTTTGATCCGAAGTGGAGCAGCGGGGACTCGAGGTGGTGCCCATTTGGGACCCGGCGTCGCAGGCGGCTGTTTAACCTGTGCGCCACGAGGCCAGCAGCCAGCGTGCGTCAGCAGGAGCCGTCCCTGCAGTGTCGCTGTGCAGAGCCAAGGGCACAGATCTGGGAACCTGGGCTGCCATAGGTGGTCCACATTCCCCCAGCCTGGAGCCCTTACTTCCTCATTGCAAAAGGAGGAGTTGGAGGCAGTGTCCTTTCCCCAGGGAGCTCCGACTGTCCTCTCCTACACTGCCCACCCAGTGCGGCAGCTCCCGGGGCTATACTTAAACTCATCACAGTTCAATAAGACGCCACCCTGCCAGCGACCACTGCTTGGACAGCACAGGCATTCGCATCATCACAGAAGCTGGGCCAGGTAGAGCTGGGTTCTGGACAGGTTGAGAGGTGGGGGGAGGGTACAGGGTAGAATGGGAACGAGTGAGGGGGAACCAGCCACCGAGGCCTCGGTATGGCAAAGAGGGCTGGCGGCCGGCAGAGTCCTTGACTTCCCCTCCCCAGGGCCAGCGAGGGCCGGCCCACCTCCAACGCCTGGTGCCAACAGAGCACCTGCTTGCTACCCTCCAGTTAGGGTTTAGCGATTCTTCAGCGACCAAAGCTCAGCCTTGCTCAAGGCCCTGGCACGCTCGGAGGCCTGCTGGCCAACAGTGCACTCTGCTGGACCGGCACACGCACCCAATGCCATGACCCGGGGCCCCTCTCCATGGAAGAAGCACGCGCGTGCGTGCGTGCGTGCGCGCGCGTGTGTGTGTGGAGGGGGTGGGGCCGCCTGGGGACCCCCTGCTGGGAACAGCCTTTGCGATGACCACTCCGGTAGCGCCAGCCCTCCGAGGTCCAGGGCCAGGGAGCACCGAGCAGGCACCCAGAAGGGCGCGCCCCGGCACATGTCTTGGGAACAGCCGGCCTCCATGCTCCAGGACCAGGTTGGGGGCGCAGGCAGAGCTTGCAGTGGGGGGAGCGCGCCCCCGGCCGCCTGGGCGGGCCCTGAGGGGGCGGGGCCTCCTCGGGCTCCGCCCCTCACGTCACGGCCTCCGTGGGGCGCCGCCCGCCCCGCGCTCCAGGTAGCGGCGGCCGCGGCTGCCCGCGGGGGCCGGCGGCGCTCCCCGGCGGGGCGGGCGGGGGGCGTTCCCGAGGCCGGCGCCCGTGATGTCACGGTCGCGGCGGGCCGCGGCGTCCCCGGGCCGGCGGTCGGAGCGGGCGGCGGGCGCCTGAGTCATGGACTTCCCCTGGCCCCTCCTCTCCCGCCGCCCCTCCCTCTCCGGGCCCCCCCGCCGGGGCTAGGGCGGGCGCGGCGCTCGGGCCCAGGGGGTGGGGCTGCCGGGCATGGCTGCGCCCCCGTCGGCTCCTCTGCCGTGCTCGCCTTTTTACCTGCGGGGGCAGGCGCCGGGCCCGCGCTGCCCATGGGGCATGGAGGAGAAGGCGGCGGCCGGCGCGGGCTGCGCGGAGCCGCCGGGCCCCCAGAGGGCCGCCGCCGTCCCGTGCTTCGGCATCTGCGTGGACCAGGACGACATCCTGCCCGGCGCCCTGCGCCTCATCCAGGAGCTGCGGCCGCACTGGGAGCCCGAGCAAGTTCGGACCAAGGTAGCCGAGCGGGTCGGAACCGGGCCCGAGCCCGGGCCCTGCGGGGCCGCCTGTGCGTGCATCCTTCCGGGTGCGGGTCCCAGGGGTACGCGGCGGCGGCGCAGGGGAGGTGGGGAGGCGGGTGTGTGCGTGTTGGTGCCTGTATTTGCAAAGCTGGGCTCACACCCCTCGCGTCCCGCACACCCAACCCCGGCTCCCGCGCGCAGGGCCACCTGCCCGCTGTCAGCACGCGGCGCGCCCGCTCCACGCCCTGTCGCCGCGGGCTGGTGCCCCTCGCTGCCCAACCCACTCTGAAACGCGAGCAGGCAGGAACTTTTAAAGAACCACCCCCCCACCGCGCGCCGCCGCCGCCCCAGACACACAGGCAGGCACGCATCGCTGGGAGGGGGAGTGAAGATGTGGGGAGGGGGGGGGTCCCAGGCCTCTCCACAGGGCGCCTTCCCCATCCCCAGCTGGGCACCCGTTCTCCAAGATCCCACTGAGGAGCCCGGGGCTGGCGCCCAGCTGATCTGCCTTCTCTAAAGAGAAGAAAGAGCGACACCTGCCCACCCACCCCTGCCCTGTGCTGGCTGCCTGAGGAAGTGGCTGAGTGGGGGCTTGCAGCTTGGGCTGGCGTAGGAGGGGCTCCAAGCCTTGCCTGGTGGGAAGGCAAAGTTCTGGGGAGGTCCTGGACCCCTCCTGGGGAGTAAAGGCCCTGTGTGGGTGAGACTCACTGGCCTGAGTCATAGCAGGTGCCAGCCCCTCCCTTCACTAGGCCTCAGTTTGCTGCCACCCCCCCCTCGCCCCCAGGTTCCATTCAGCTGCGCTCCAAGGCCTCCTAAAGCAGGTGGCTCCTTCCTCCTTATCACTCTGGCTGGAGGAGCCAGTGCCCCCAGCCCAGAGGTCTTCTGGTGTGGAGCTGGGCGGTCCCGGGGACCTCCGACCCCTGGAGTCCTGGGATACGGGCACCTCAGTGGCCCCCCTCGGGCCTCCACCGCGGGACGGGGCGAGAGACGCAGCAGAGAGCGGCGTGCCTGGGTGGCAGTGGGAAGCGCTGGTCAGGAGGTGCTGTTCTGAACAACTCCTCGCCCTCCTCTGCCACGCTGTGGTCCACAGCAGTTTATTCTCAGGGCCAGGATGGAGGAAAAGGAGGGGGAGAGGGCCCCTGTGCACTGCCCCTCTTCCCAGGTAGATTCCTCCCGTGCCAGGTCCCGTGCAGACCCGGGGCAGCCAGTGCGCCTGCATCGAGCCCAGTGCTGAGTTTTCCAGGGCAGAGGGACTGGGGGCTCTGTGTGGCGCTCCTCCTCCTAGCGAGCCCCTCCTGCTGGAGCTGGGGAGCCCCACCCATCCACGCACTGCCCCCTACCCCCACCCCAGCGCTTCACCGATGGCATCACCAACAAGCTGGTGGCCTGCTACGTGGAGGAGGATATGCGGGACTGCGTGCTGGTCCGGGTGTACGGGGAGCGCACGGAGCTGCTGGTGGACCGGGAGAATGAGGTCCGGAACTTCCAGCTGCTGCGAGCACACGGCTGCGCCCCCAAGCTCTACTGCACCTTCCAGAACGGGCTGTGCTACGAGTACATGCAAGGCGTGGCGCTGGGGCCCGAGCACATCCGGGAGCCCCGGCTCTTCAGGTGAGGAACGGTGCCGGGGTCCGCTTTCCCGGCTGTAGCGAGTGGCCCTTGGAGCAGCTTCGTGGCGAGATCGGCGGGGTGCAGGGGAAGTGTGTGTGTGTTGATGGACTTTGCAGGGAGAGACGGTAACTTTCTGTCGCTCTTCAGCAGCGTCCCCTGGGAGGAGAGGGAGCATGTTGGTGAATGTGGGGCTGCCTCCTGGCCCTAGGTAGGCCTCAAACCTCTGCCCACCCCAGGTCTGGCCTGGAAACATCTCAGAGCCTGGGAGGTGTAATCCGAGCCAAGTCCCCGGGGAACCCAGGGTTTCCTGTCTCTCCTCACCTCCTGCCAAGAGCTCAGGTGTGCAGGGAAAATGGGCCCCATTCGGGCTGAGTGTGGTTTTACCAGCCCGGGGAGATGTGGGCCCTCCCGCTGGCCTTTACTGCTCCTGGCCTCCCTGACAAGGTGGGAAGCCGGGCTTGGGGAGTGGCCCTGGCCTCCTCACAGAGGAGTGATGCCTGGACACGCAGGGCCCAGCCACTGGACTTCACCTTCAAGCCCTGTGGACGCCACCGTGTGCTTGGCGTGGGCCAGGGCAGGCAAGCCAGGCAGTGGCCTCCCCCTCCCCGACAGGGCTGACCCACATGGAGGGCAATCTGACTGGCAGGCCCGGTCTAAATCCTGCACTGCGGCCAGCCGCTGGGGTCTGTGTGGGATCCCTGGATTCTGCCCTGTGCAGTCTGAGGGGGAGAAGTGAAGCCCACCTGGGGTGGATCAGGAAGCTCCTTTGCCCGCTCACCTGCCACCCAGCTAATTCTAAGTTGGTGCACCTGGCCCTCCAGGACTTACAAGGAGGGAGTCTTGGAGGCCCCGCGTCCCCGTGCTGCCGAGCGCGGCCTCAGGTACTGGCTTTGAGGAGAGTGTTACAGCTGGGGGCGGGGAGGCTGCAGTGAGAAGCAGATACACCTGTGCGAGGGTCCACTCCGGCTGGGGGTAGGGAGGCTGCAGATACACCTGTGCGAGGTGAGCAGCTCCAGATGTGCCAGGTCTGGGGTGTGAGGTCAGGGACCCCTTCCTGGCTTCTCCCAGCTCCCTGTCTTGTGCAAATAAGCTTAAACCTTGGCAGGTCCTACCACTCCCAGCCTCCCTCCCCTCTGAATCCCTTGTTGTCACTCATCCTCCTGTGGAAACAATTACCATTGTCAGGAAGATTGACGATGGATTTGGGTTTGATAAGAACAACTTGGCATTTGGGAGAGAGCCAGAAATTGGGCGAGGTATAGGAGGCAGGCCCTTCCCCGATGGGCTGGATCCGGATCCCTGAGGGCAGGTGACAGCCTCAGGGAGCCCCCCACATTCCCCCAACCCACCCGCCAGCTTCAGCCTGCTGTCTTCGCAGCATAAAACTGCTGAGTGTTGAGGTTACTTTCATTGCTATTCCAGACAACAGTCCTATTGATATTCAAGGAAACGCTCTGTTCATGCTCTGGTCGGATCTTCCTTTGGGAAGGAAAGGGAGGGCCTGGGTCTCCAGGTCTGATTCTCTGCCTTGCCCAAACCCTGGCCGGCTCCTTCCTGCCTCCAGGCTGCAGCCCCTGAGAGTGTGGCTCCCCCTCTCCCCTCCACCCTTTAGGAGGTGGGAGCCTTAGTGCAGCTTCCAAAGGAGCCCAAGACTGCCCGGAGGTCCCTGTGGGGGCCTGGCCTGCCCCTCCCCAGTGGCTGGGTAAGGGGATGAGGGGCTGCCTGGAACTGCCCCGGGAACAGATTTCCACCAGCCAGTGTCTTTGTTGTCTCTCCTGGTGGTGATGATGGGAGCAACAGGCAGAGGCAGCCAGGAAGCCTGAATGTTGGAGGCCTGGCAGACAGCGGGGGTGGGGCTGCACAGGGCTGGGGTCCTTATCAAGGTCCTCCCCCTCTGACCGGTCAGTCCTCTGTCCACCCCCGCCCTCTCCCAGCAACCTTCCCGGCCGCCCACTCCTCCTCTCCCGGGACCTTGGATAAGGTCCACTGGAGAACTTGAAAATAGAACGCTGGCTTGTTTTGCGTCCTTGGCACCCAGCCGCCAGCATCAACTCCCTGTGGCTGAGGAAGGGGCTGCCCCCGGCCAGCCTGTTTTCCCTCCCCACCTTGGCCAGGCTGATAAGAGGCGGTGTGTGTCTTCCCTGCCTGCCATCCCCACCCCCTATCCCTCCATGCAAAGTGGCCTGTGCTCACTCCCCTCCGAGGATGGGGCAGAGTCCAGGGGGCAGGGAGGGCACCACCCCCGTTCCCGGGTGCCCCCTGTGCCATCGACCTGTGGCCCACTGCCTGCAGCTCTGCGCTGCTCCCTGAAGCGGGCCCAGCTCTGGGACTGGAGGGCAGCTGGAGGCCCAAGGTCTTGTTTCACTTGCATGCCTTCTGCAGAGCCCTGCCACTGTGCAGCCACGACCACGCTTGGTCCTCTGGCGGGGGCCCCTCTCTGGCCAGGAGGGGAGGGCCTGCCGGCCGGCACTGATACACTCCACTCCTGTTCTCTGCCCTAGGTTAATCGCCTTAGAAATGGCCAAGATTCACACGATCCACACCAACGGCAGCCTGCCCAAGCCTACCCTCTGGCACAAGATGCACAATTATTTCACACTTGTGAGGAACGAGATCAACCCCAGGTACAGAGGTCTGGGAGGGTCCCAGGCTGCCACCATGCGGTCCCACCCCTGCCCATTCTCTGCAGCCCGCCCATCCCGGAAGCGGTGGGCACAGGTCCGGGCGGGGGCTGGGCAGTTCTCCCCCACCCCGCCCCTTCAGTCCCTCTCCCAGAACCGCTGGCCCCCAGCCGAGCTGGGCCAGTGACCGAGCCCTGGGAACGTAGACCTTGCGCTGTTTCTCTTGAGTCTGACTGTGGCGGGGACTTCTGCCTAATGCTAAGGCTCCGAGAGGGAGCTTAGCCCGCGTCACGGGGCCGGGCACGGCTCCTGTTTCTCAGGCCAGTGCTCAGTGATCTCGCACCTCTTGAACAGAGAAGGGCCAGGACCCCTGGGAGTGGGGTGGGACTGAGGGCAGTCAGGGGAGCGCTCGCTCTCTCCAGCCGGCAAGCCCTGGGGACGGCAAGGTTCCTGCTCCCTGCCTGGACCGCCTCCCCCATCTTCCTGTGCCTCTGGAACTTGTCCTCCAACCCGGCTCAAAGCTACAGCTTGCTTTCCTTCATGGCCCTTTCCGGGGGAGCGGGCACCCCCATCCCAACACAGCCTTACCCCACAGGAGACGGGTTCCCTGAGCTTTTCCGTGAATCCCTGGCCAGCCTGCAGAGGCCTGACTCCTCCTGAGTGCTAAGGAAAGGGCAGATGGAGGCATGCGGGAGGGCTGGTGTTGTCCTGTAAGAGACGGTAGCAAGGCTCTGACCTCTGCACCCCACGGGCGTTGAACGCTCCCTTCAAAAGCACATGTAAACAAGTGTAATTGGCATATATATATATGGGGACAGTGTGATGTTTCAGTACATGCATGCAACGTGGGATCATCAGACCAGGGAGATGGCGAGCCCCTCGCTTGAAACGCTGGTCATTGCTTCAGCTTGGAACCCTTCCGAATCCTCTCTGCTAAGCTGCTTTGATGAACTCTGGGTAATTTGAGCACCAGCTTTGTTGTAAATGTTCACGGGGTAGCGTGCAGAAGAGGCCTGGGGAGCGGTCTCTCCCTGCGGCCCCCTCGCACGCATGTGTGACTTTAACCCCTCCTGCTTCACATTTGCCAAGCACTGCTTTGGGACTGTTTGTGCAGATGGCCCATGCCTGCCCCCTTTGTGACCATGCTCAGACTCTCCGTGTCACCTGGTATCTCTGGGACAAGGGGTGAATCCTCCCTTAGGGCTTGCATGGCACAGGGGAAGCAGGACCTCATTGCAGTCCCAGGCAGGGGATGGACCTGCCAAGGTCACGGTCAGGGGCACCTCGAGCCTAGAGTCCTGGCCTCCTGGTGCTCAGGCAGGATCCCGGCAATGGTGCTGCCGCCGCCAGCCCTTGGGGAGGGGGCCCTGGGGAAGAGCGGCCCAGCTCCCTTTGCTCTTGCCACACCTTTGACCTTGGGAAAGTCGAGATTTGGTTGTTCTTTGAGCAGGACAGCGAGGAGCAGTCGCTCAGGCTGGGCAGGAGAAAGCCGCAGAGCTGCAGCCGTGGCCTCGTGACCCTGACTTAGTCCCTGCTGTCGCAGACAGGGATTGTCGGGGATTTAAAGCAATTCCCAAAAAAAGAAAGCGAACTTGACGTTGGCCCTTCCTTCAAGAAGCATAGGTGCCACCTGGGTCACCAGGACATGTCCGTGCATGGCCGGGAAAGGAGGCAGGGTGTGTGCTGGGTGCTGTGCACGGTGAGATGGGAAAGTGCTCCTGGCCAGGGCCTGCTGTGGGCGGGTCTTCAGGGGGCCTGGGAGGGAGCTGTGGGTGAGTGGGAGCTCCATCGTGAGGGGCCTTCGCTGCCAGGCCAAGGAGCCGAGACTGAACGGAGTGGGGGTGGGAGAGGCTCGAAGATGCTTGAGCCGGGGCCTGGTTTAGGGAGAAGCCGCTCTCGCGGTCGGGGATGGTTTTGGCTGGGCAATCAGCAGCAGCAGGTGGAGCTGAGGTGGGCAGACCAGCTGTTGTCATAATTGGGCCAGATGACCTAGGACTAGGGTTCCCAAACTGAGCCTGAGATTCCCCTGGGGCACCTGCAGATGCCCAGGCCAGCCCTGGAGACTGATGGGTGGGGATTTGAGTTTTGATGGGCTCCCCAGGGAACTGAGGGGTGGAGCGATGTGTTGGGGACCTGTGGAAATAGATTCGGCAGCCTTGATGTTGGGCTGGCCGTGCAGGTGCCCAGGGTGGCTGGGAGGGCTGGTGTGTGACTGGGCGGGTGGGAGGGCGGAGGCGCTGGGCCAGGAAGCTGGGACATTTAGTGTCTCGCAGGGAGAAGGGCATTTTGCCCTGCCCAGACCCTGACCTCTGTCCCTTCACCAGGAGGACCCCCGAGGCTGCCCTGGGGAGGCCGAGGCCATGGCCCCTTGCCACCTCCTGCTGTCTGTGGGATGCAGCTGTGGCCCCGGGCTGGCTATGTTTTAAGTGCCCTGAGACGGAAGGCCTGGATCATCTCACAGTGACCATCTCCGTGGCCTTGGGGTGGGCAGCGCAGGGTCAGACAGAGGTCAGGGCTGAGCAGCGCAGGCGTCTGGGGTGTCAAGGCTGTGGTTTCTGGCCAGGCCTGGGCAAACCAGAGGAAGCCTCCCAATTCTTATCTCTCGGTATTTCAGGCCAAGAGGGAAGAGATGGTGAAAGAAAGGTAGCTTCCTGGGGAGTCAAGGCTGGGAGAGGTGACGGGTGGCCCTCTGGGTGCAGATAAACTCCCAGAGGGGAGGGAGGGCGTGGCCTGGACGCAGGGAGGAGGAGCCTCAGGGGGCCCAGGGCCCAGGAGCCTCAGGGGGCCCAGGAGCCTCAAGGAGACTTGGTGCTGTGTTGGGTTCTTGGAAAGGCCCAGGATTCCGCTGTTCAGGTGGCAGGGAGGGAGCCCCTCCCCTCCCCTCCCCTCCCCTCCCCTCCCCTCCGTTTCCCTATCTGGGACCAGGTGACCTAAGACCCCATGAACTAGGGCCTACTCTAAGCCCCAGGAGCCTGCCCACTCTGCCCTGTCCAGAGGGGGCTGTGGGGATGCCCTGGTGGCTGAACTCTACCCGAAGGCCGTCATGTGGGCAGGTGGAGAGGGCGGCCTCCCACTGGCCATCCTGTGTGTGCTCCCCTGTCCTGGACAAGCCACACAAACAGGAGACGCGCGAGTAGGGCACCAGCCCCGCCCCTCTCCCGCCGCTGCTTCTGGGCCTATGAGGGTCCTGCGCGCTGTTTGGCTTTCTCGGTGTACACAGCGGTGTGCATCCTCAGGCCAAAGTGCAGGGCCCACAAGCACAACATGCCCTCGTCGGCGTCCACGTGCCTCTGATGACCTTGGATGGCCCAGCCACTCATTAGTCATGGGTTGAACAGAAGCGGCTGCTGTGTGCGTGGGGTGGGGTGTGGGCAGGAGGAGAGGGGGCCTCCGTGCCCCTTCGTCTCTGCCGTCAGTTTGCCCACGCACAGTCTGGCCGGGACCCGGGGCAGTGACTAGGGAGCAGCAGAGCACCTGCTGGTGGCCCGGAAGTCCTCTGTGTCCGTGTGGGCCCAGGTGGTCCATGTGTGGGGTGAGAGGTCTTGTTCCCCTCCATGGGACAAGCTCACCCTGGAGAGTGACCCCTTCCCCAGGCCTGCTGGCCGCATCTCCCTGCTGCTCCTGTCAGCCTTTTTCTCTCTCGGGGTGGAGTCATTCGGTCTGGACGCTCGTTCTCCCCTCCACTGCCCTTTCCTTACCTTCTCGTCCCTTCTACAGGGTGACAGGGATGTCATTTGGACAACAGCCTTGCCTTTTAAAACAGAAAGTTGTATTGGGATAGAGAAAGAGCTCCTGTCCTCTGGTTCACTTCCCAGAGGTCCACGGGGGCCAAAGCCAGGGGCCAGGAACTTAACCCAACTACTTGAGCCACCACCTGCTGCTTCCCAGGGCGTGTGTTGCAGAAAGATGGAATCAGTAGTAGAAGTAGGACTTGAACCTGGGCACTTCGGTATGGGAGGCAGGCGTCCCAGGCAGCATCTTTACCTGGAGGCTGAACACCTGCCCCTGGATGGTGACTTTCAGGCTCGGCCAGCTGCCTTCATGGCCGGGTTTTAATCCGCTTCTTGGCACAACTGCAGGAGTCAGGACAGGAAGCCGTAGTGCCACTTGAGAGAGTCCGATAGGTTGGCCACCTGCCCGAGGTCCCCCCGCGGTGATGGGCTGTAGCGGTCGTGCACCTGCCAGTCCGTCGCCAGCCCTCCCCACACTGGCCGCCTTCTTGCCGCTGCCTAGCCTCTCTGCAGGTGTCCCTAAGGTGGAGGTGCTGGAGTGGGAGCTGGCCTGGCTGAAGGAGCACCTGTCCCAGCTGGACTCCCCGGTGGTGTTTTGTCACAACGACCTGCTCTGCAAGAACATCATCTATGACAGCGCCAAAGGTACGGCTCCTCCAGCCCTGCCCGGGGGCGGCGGGCTGCAGGGGCCCCTCCGCAGGCTGGCGCTTGGACAGCAGAGGGAGACCTGGGTGTAGGCCGTAAGTTAATGTGTGGGAGAGAGAAAACAAGAAATCCCCACTTAGGAAAATCTATCCAAGAAAGAACCCCAAATCCTGGTTTGTGGAGGTCCAGGTTAGGCACCCACGCCATTCCTTGGGGCGAGTGCGTGGGCTGCCCGGAGCTGCTGCTCTTGGTGACAGCGTCGCCCCCAAGGGGCACGGCTGAGCTGTAGGATCCACAGGACACCAGCTCTGGGGCCTTCTTTGGATACTGGACTCCAAGGATATTCAAGTTCCTTGCATAAAATGGCAGAGTCTCTGCATTAACCCGTGCACAGCTCCCATGCACAGTCTTTCTCAAAGTTATTTGAGAAAGATTTTTTTTTTTTAAATCTGCTGGTTCACTCCCCAAATGCCAGCAACAGCTGGGACCGGGCCAGGCTGAAGCCAGGTGCCATCAGGTCAGTCTGGGTCTCCCTTGTGGGTGGCAGGGACCCAAGTACTTGAGCCGTCACCTGCTGCCTCAGAGTGAGTACAGGAAGCTGGAATCAGGCATGGAGGCAGGACTCAAAGCCAGGCACTCCAGGATGGGACGTGGGCGTCCCAAGCAGCTTTTTTCCCAAAGATACCTTTTATTTAATGAGTACAGATTTCCTAAGTACCACTTTAGGAATAGAGTGATTCTTCCCCCCATACCTACCTTCCCACCCCTTCTCCTCCCTCTCCCATTCCCAGTCCCATTATCCATTTAGATTCATTTTCTTTTATTTAAATATTTATTTATCTGAAAGAGTTACACAGAGAAGGAGAAGCAAAAAGAGGGCTTTTCCATGAGCTGGTTCACTCCCCAGTTGGCCGCAACGGCCAGAGCTGCACCCATCTGAAGCCAGGAGCTTCCTCCTGGTCTCCCACGCAGGTGCAGGAGCCCAAGCACTTGGGCCATCTCTGCTTTCCCAGGCCATAGCAGAGAGCTGGATCAGAAGTGAGGTAGCGGGACTCGAACCAGCACTCATATGGGATGCTAGCACTCAGGCGGCGGCCTTACCTGCTACCCCACGGCACCGGCCCCAAGATTCATTTTCAATTAACTTTATACACAGAAGACCAACTCTGTACTGAGTAGAGTTCAGCAATTTGTGCACGCGCGCGCACACACACACACACACACACTAGTTTTACAGTTAACTCTCATAGTACAACTCATGGAGGACAGAGCTCTTGCGTGGGGACTTAGTGCAGTGACTCCTGTTGTTAATTCAACAATTAACACTCATGAAGTCAGTGACCACCCAAGGCTCTTGACATGAGCTGCCGAGGCTGTAGAAGCCTTTTGAGTCCACAAACTGTCAGTATTTAGACAAGGCCATAAGCAAAGTGGAAGTTCTCTCCTCCCTTCTGGCCACTTCTTTCCACTGGGGTCTCGCCCACCGAGGTCCTTCCTGCAGGACCAAGCAGTGTCTTAACCACTGTGTCAAGGGCCGGTCCCCTCCGTTTACTTAGATCGTGTCTAGAGACTGCGGTGTGGAGAGCCGGCACGGTGTTCCGTGTCTGCGCATGCTCACACAGATGCAGTGTGACTCCAGGGCTGTGGGACCCTTGAATGCACAAGGCCGCCTGTCCTGAGCTTTGGTTCTCGTCCATGGCCATGCTGAGGACAGGTGTCTCCGGGGTTGGGATGTGGTCTGGCTGTGAGAGAGGGGTGGCGGGTGCTGGGGAAAAGACAGATGGACAGAGAGAAGGGAGTGGCTTAGAAGGAGTGGGTGGAGCGACCAAGGGTGTGTTTCAGAGGCGCTGGGACCAAGCCCGTTGCCTGTCTTGTACCTCTCAGGTCACGTCCGGTTCATTGACTACGAGTATGCTGGCTACAACTACCAAGCCTTTGACATTGGCAACCATTTCAATGAGTTTGCAGGTGAGAAGGTGCTACTGTTGCACCTGTGTCCAAGGCACGCCTCTAAGGAGGAGGGGCTGGGTCTCGGGGGAGGACCAGGGTGGAGGCTACGACCCACAGACGCAGAGCTGACCTCTGTGAGCCCCACTGGGGGCCTGACACAAGAAAAGCACACCATCTATAGGATGCCCGAGGGTACTCAGCTCGGCATGTACATTTTTTTTTTTTTTTTAAGAATTTATTTGAAAGAGTTAGACACAGCTACCATCCCCTGGTTCACTCTCCAAATGGCCACAACGGCCTGGGACGGGGCCGAGCTGGGAGCCAGGAACTCCGTCCGGAGTCTCCCAAGTGGGTGCAGGGGCCTAAGCACCTGGGCCATCCTCGCTGCTTTCCCAGGTGCATTAGCAGGGAGCTGGATCCGAAGCAGAGCAGCCAGAGCTGAAACCATGTGGGATGCTAGTGGTGTTGTGGGTAGTGGTCTGAACCCCTGTGCCACGGTGCTGGCCCCCCAGCTTATAAATGTAAAAAGACCCTTTCTCCGGACAGACGCTGCCTGTGCCAGCAAGGCCAGCGTGGCACAGGATGACCGCCTTGGCAAGCTCCTTATCCATGAGGGCCCTGCCTGCAGCTAGGACGTGGGTCAGGCTCCAAGCAGCCACTTGCATGGAGGCCTGAGGACAGCCCCGAGGCAGTCGTTCAGCGTGTGCTGTGCACCTTCGCTCCCACGTCCCAGTCCTAGCTGTGTGAGCCCTGGGCAGGCTGCCTCGCTCTGCGCCTCTAAAATGCACATGGTAGCGGTAGCTACTCGGGAGCACAGACACGAGGCAGACACGCAGGGGCGGCACACTGAGCGCTGGTCCTGGTAGGCAGGGGTGCTTTCCTGCAGTGCCTGAGGAGCGGGAACCGAGGGGGCTGGCACAGGCAGGTGAGCCCTGGGGGCGGGCCTGGTCTGCACCAGTGAACCATGGGGAAGCATTGGCAGGGTTCTCTGGCCTGCCCGCCTGCTCAGGACGAGCTGGAACCAGGTAGTAGGCCAGGGATGGGGGCGCTGGACATGGGCTGGGGCTGTCCCCAAGCTGGTGAGGCGGGATGCCCAGCCCCCGTGGCTTAGGGCAGGTGAGGCATGCCCAGGCCAGCCACAGCCGCTCCTGAGCCTAATCCCGGCCAACCGTGTCCCTTCTGGAACCGCAGGTGAGCGAGTCCATGCAGCTCTGATGGTGTCCTTGGGGATGGCTCCCCTCGGGGGCAGCTGCCAGCTGCGCTGGGGAACCCGAGGCATGATGGGGCCCAGGCCAGGGTGCTCACCCCCAGGTCCACTGGCCTTTCCCAAAAGGGCTAATTCCCAGGCATTTTAAGTCCTTGCCTGCTGTACTGGGCAAAGTGCAGCTGGAAGCCCGCCAGGGGGCAGCCCACGTCCGACTCCCAGGTGGAGAGCAGAGGTGGGAGGGAGGGCAGATTTAGGAGCTGGAGGGGTAGAGCAGAGAAGGGCGGTGCGCACTGGCAGGAGACAACTCCAGCCAAGTGGCCGTGTGACCCTGGGCTAATCCTTCGCTCTTGGCCTTAGTTTCTCCATCTACAAGGGGGAAAGAAGAGGGAGGAAGCGGGCTCGGGGACGGTGGCCCAGTCCTGGGCCTGACGGTTTTGTTTTTAAGGTTTATTTGATTCTATTTGAAAGGCAGAGTTGGGGGAGAGAGAGGTGTTCCATCCACTGGTTCATTCCCCTAAATGGCTTCAACGGCCAAGGCTGAGCCAGGCAGGAGCCAGGAGCTTCATCCGGGCTTCCTACATGGGTGCAGGGGCCCAAGCACTTGGGCCATCCTCTGCTGCTTTCCCAGGCGCACCAGCAGGGAGCTGGGTCTGAAGTGGAGCAGCTGGGACTTGAACCAGTGCCCGTGTGGGGATGCCGGAGCTGCAAAGAGCAGCCTCGCCTGCTGCACCACAACACTGCTGGGGCCCCACCCCCACCCCCACCCCCAGTAACCGTCTTTCAGCAGCAGCTCTGTGGCCAGGGCGCGGTGGGCGGGCAGGGCTCAGCTGAGTGCCCACGGGGCCAATCGGGATCGCCAGGCGGCTTGGCCGGGGACAGTGTTGTCTGGGCAGTGTTGTTAAGCTGGGTCCTAGAAGCAGACAGGGTGAGGGTGTGCGGGGGCGCTGTCCGTGGGGTGCCTGATGCACTCAGGTCAGTGCCCTGCCTTCCTCAGCCCCCCAGCAGCTGTGCCCCCCACCCCAGCTGAGTACACGCCCAGGGCACCCTCCTGGTTGCAGCCACATGGGTGGAAGGCGATGGGTAGGCGTTTCGCAGGGTGAAGGGAGACCCCAAGGGTGGGGGGCCTGTGTCCCTGCAGCGCTCCGCCCTGCTCCCCGGCAGGTGTGAACGAGGTGGATTACTGCCGGTACCCGGCCCGCGAGACCCAGCTGCAGTGGCTGCACTACTACCTGCAGGCGCAGAAGGACTCGGCCGTGACCCCCAGGGAGGTGGAGCGGCTCTATGTGCAAGTCAACAAGTTTGCCCTGGTGAGGGGAGGGGGAGGTGGCAGGGGGAGGGGCTTGGGGGGTGAAGAGCCGGCCTCCCGTGTGTGTCCCTCCCACCCCAATGCCTGGTCCTTGCTCCCGCCCTGGGAGAGAGATATTCTCTCTTCTAGAAAAATTCAAGGGTACTTCAAAATGTTCATGGAAAAGAAAATTAAAAGATGAGTTTCATGCAAACATTTTTGAAATCCTGCATGTAAAATCCATGCATGCAAAATCTGTCTTAGGAAAAAACATTTTTAAAAAATTACATTTATTTGAAAGGCAGAGAAAGAGGTCAAGCTTCCATTCGCTGGTTCACTCCCCAAATGTCCACAACAGCCAGGACCAGGTCAGGTCAAAGCCAGGAGCCCAGAGCCCAGCCGGGTCTCTCCCGTGGGTGTCGGGGACCCCAGCACTTGCGGCATCTCCTGCTGCCTTAAGGGGTGCACGCTGGCGGGAAGCTGGAGTGCAGTGGGGTGCCTGACGCGGCATTTGCGGTGTCCCGAGCGGGGTCTCAACCACAGTGCCAAGTGCCTGCCCCCTTACATGTACATTTCAAACTTTTCTTGCACTAAACTTCCTAATGCCACTTTCCTGTAAACTTTAAAAAAAAAAAGTATTTATTTGAAAGTCAGAGTTACACAGAGAAGGAGAGTCAGAGAGAGAGAGAGAGAGAGGTCTTCCACCTGCTGGTTCACTCCTCAGTTGGCTGCAGCAGCCGGAGCTGAGCCCATCCAAAGCCAGAAGCCTCTTCGGGTCTCCCACGTGGGTGCATGACTCAAGTGGGCCATCTTCCACTGCTTTCCCAGGCCATAGCAGAGAGCTGGATTGGAAGTAGGGCAGCCGGGACTCGAACTGGTGCGCATATGGGATGCCGGCACTGCAGGTCACTTTACCCACTACACCACAGCACCGGCCCCTCCTATAAACTCCTTTAAGGACCCTTGCATGGATGCCAGCTCCTGTTGTGGCAATCCCCTCATCTAGATAAGTTCTTCCCACTGTCTGACCTAAGCCATTCCTACTGCAGTTAAGTTCATCTTTTCCCCCATGGCCTTTGGAGGAGCAGCAGTTCCCCTCTCCTCTGCAGAGGGGCTCTCTCCCTGCCCTCTCCTCGCCCCTGCGCTGTCAGCTCTTGGTTCTGAGTTACAGCTCCTCCACGGATGGTGCTGCAGGCCAGGTCCCGCTGGCGTGCGTGTGGGGCATCGCTAGCCAGCGTAATGTCAGCCACACGGCCGCCCCAGGGCAAGCATGGTGGGGTGGGAGACCCCCACCTGGGCACCACTGCTGTGTGCCCCTGAACACATCAACTATAGGGGCAGCGCAACTTGATTCTCGGTTAACGCCCACACTCGGGGCTCCCTGTGCTCAGATCTACAGTCAATTTCCACCCCAGCTGGTGTTCATAAGAGAGGAGGGGTGGGAGAAGCCAGCAAGGGCTCCTTCAGGAGTCCCAGGTCCCCAGTGCCCACTGGGGCCCAGGGCACCGCGGCCCCCCACTCTGCTGTCCCCCTGGCAGCTCGTCTCCCGGCTGCTGGGCCTGCGCTCTGGCTCGGCGATTCACCTCTGCCTTGAGTTCTCCTTGGCTGGGAGGTGGCCAGGGCTGTGCAGGCTGGGGGCACCACCCTGCTGCCCACGCCGTGGAGGGGCGAGCGCTGGGACCGGGGCTGACCCAGTCCTGCTTGCCTCTCCCTAGTAAGACAGCGCAGGCCCCAAGAGCTGCCCGGTGCATCGGCCTCGGTGCCTACATCCCTGCAGCTCTGTAGGGTGCACAGCAGTCAGGATGCTGCCAGCCGACCCGCTCTGGTCTCTCTGCAGGCATCTCACTTCTTCTGGGCTCTCTGGGCCCTCATCCAGAACCAGTACTCCACCATCGACTTCGACTTCCTCAGGTGGGTGCAGGGCCCAGCCGGCAGGGAGGGTGGGGGCAAGGAAGAGCTTGAGGCCAAGGCCAGCCAAACAGAAGGCGCAGGGCCCATCCCTTGCCCACAGGGCAGAAGTGCTGCCCCTGGGAGATCCCAGCTCCCCACCCTGTGGCCGTGCTCTGGTCCCCAGCACGTGGCAGTGGGTGGAAGTGTTGGCTTTCGTCCATGGCTTAAGAGCGCATTCCCCGACAGAGAGAGCAGGGCCCACTTCCTGCGGTGCCTCGCTCTGCTTAGCGCCTGCTCTGCTGCCCATCCTGGCAGTCAGACCCAACCCCTGCTCCCGTGGCTCCTGGGGACCCGCTGGGAACACACGCAGACTGTACTTGGCTTGGAGCTCAGGGTCGGGCGCATGCCTGGCAGGTGGCTAACAGCAGGCCGAGAGCAGCAAGCACAGGCCAGGACGTGGGCTTTCGGAGTCCCGTGTGCTGCCGATGGACTGCTCAAGGGTGCAGCCCCCGGATGACTTCAAAAGCTCACGAGGAAAAAAAGCAGTTTAGTTTGATGCAAATGTTTTGTAATTGTGCATTTTTTTCCCATCATAGGCATTTTCCATGGCCTTCTAGAATAGAAGCCCCTCATATGCGTGGCTCAGTCCTTTGTAGCAATATAAACGCCTCATTTCCCCACGAACTTTCACTTTCCTATCGAGGTACCCGGGTATGGTGGTTCCTCAAAGACCTAAAACTCGAATTTCTGAATGGCCCAGGGGTCCTGCAGCTGGGGGTCCCTCCAGCAGGCTGAAGGCAGGGTCTTGGAACAGCGGACCCCCAAGTTCGTAGGCAGAACCCAGGTGAATGAATGAACCATGTGGTACCTACAGGTGATCGAATACCATTTAGCTTTAACAGGGAAGCTAGTCCTGTCCCCTGAGGACATTTTGGCAGAGAGGGTTTGATTGCACTAACACAGAGGTAACCCCAGGAGTCAAAGTCATAGACACCCAGTAGAACAGGGTGGGGGTGGGGGGTGGGCGGGGGCTGTGGCTGAATGAGTGTAGGGTTTCAGTTTCACAAAGTGGAAAAGTTCCGGGGCTTCATTGCACAACACCAGGAATACGCTAGGGAGAGGACTGTTCCAGTCTAAGAAAAAGCTCCAGCTGAGAACTTCTAAACAGGACAGCCTGATACAGCCCGAGAGCCAGCCAAGAGCCGTGGCCGTCCCTGCAGGGCCCTGCCGGCTCCCCTGCCGTGCCCAGCTCTGCCCTCCTCTCCTGCAGGTACGCAGTGATCCGATTCAACCAGTACTTCAAGGTGAAGCCTCAAGTCTCGGCCTTGGAGATGCCAAAGTGACCAGCCTCGCCCGTCTGCCTGGCCAGCTTTGCTCCCCGGGCCCCACCCCTGGACAAGGTGGGAGAGGGGACGGGGTGGGGGGGTCTGGGGAGAAGGCTCTGTCCCTGCCGCCAGCCCCCAGTGGCTGCTACTGAAGACCTCATTCTCCTGTTGGGAGGGGCGGACAGGACCCAGCCCCCCCTCACCAGGCACAGGAGGAAGTGCCTGCAGCCAGCCGGGGCCAGACCGACCCAGCACCCCGGGGAAGCACACCCGTCCGTCCCAGCCCTCTCTGGAACCTGGGCTGCCTTAGACGCATCTGCCCCTGCCTGGCCTGGGGCCAGGGCGCCTTACTACCTCCAGTGCCCCAGCCTCCAGCCTGTCTCCCCTTGCATGGCCCACACCAGCATCAGCCAGCTCTGTCCGATGGGGGCGGGGGCCAGAACCGGGCAGCCCCCTTCTCTGAGGCCCTCAGCTCCAGTCCACCCCCTCCCCACACCCCAGCCCAAGGAACCATGCCCCTCCCCCCGCAGGTCCCTGCTGGGGGCAGGGAGGGTGTGGTGACCAGTGCCCACGCCAGCTGCCTCCTGCCCGAGGACCTGTCGTCCTCCCCTGGGGGCAGGCTCTGATGGTGCCCCACGGCCCCTGGCGCTCACCAGCCTCCACCTCCAGTCCTCACAGCTCCTGGGGTGCCCTCCGGGCTGTGGCCTATAAAGTGATTCATTTGTAAATTATGGTGGTTTCTGCATTAAAATGCTCATTTCTGGACTGACTGTCCATGTGGCAGAGGCAAGGGTTTGACTTGGGGGGTGTGGTGGGAGGGGGGGGGAGGGGAGTGGAGGGGTGGGACAGGGTAAGGCCCATACCGTGCCCAGCCCCCTGTCTCTGCTGCACCCCCTCCCCCTGAGCTGCCCAGGTCTCCTCCCCACACTGCACCTGGCATGGCTGTTTCCCAACTGCTGTGCCTCTGACCTTGCTGCACCCCCACAGAGCTGCTCAGAGAGGAGCCCGGCTCCCTTTGGCAAACCATGGTGAGGAGCCCGGAAGCCCCTGACCGCAGTGCGCAGCCTTCCTAGCCCCTAGGGTGGGGACGGGGGCTGCTCTGATGGCAGGCTGCAGGGCCCTCTGGAGCCCCGCGGTCACTTTCTCAGAAGGCCAGAAAGCATGACCCTCCCCAGAGCGTGCCCAGTGGACTCTGGCTGTTTGGTTTTGGCCTGTGTTAAGCGCCAGGGTGTCATGGCAACCACGGGAGCCGGCACCAGCAGCTGGGGCCTCCAAGGTCACGGTGATCCAGTGTAGCCTGCCCCTCTGGAAGGGAGGGAGAGATGTGCACAGGGCAGAGGGTAGGCAGGTGGCCCCGAGGGGCTGTCTGTGGGGTCAGGTGGCCGTGGACCTGCCCACCCTGGCTGGGGCCTGAATGGAGCCACCTCTGGAGCCCAGGACGGGAGGAGCAGCTGTGAAGTCAGCTTCCTTTCCAGCCTCCTGGGGCTTGGCATTGTCACAGCCTTGGAGGCCAGTGTCGCAGTGGTGAGCAGAGAGCGCCGGACAGGGCCTTCAGGCCCCCTGCAGTCCTCAGGGGAGGGGCCAGGCACGCAGCCCCAGAGTCCCCCTCCCTCCCTCCCGCCACCACTCCCATACTCCAGCCTCAGCACCAGGCCTGGAGTCCCAGTGCCATCACAGGCCCTTGCTGGCCCCTCTGCAGGAGCTCTGGCCACAGGACCCTGGCCCAAGATATGACCCTCGGCCTCTGTGGAGCAGCACTGCGGAGGCAGACAGCAGGCTCCCGCCTAGCCTTCCCGTTAAGAGCTGGGACATTCTGTCTCTGTCTGGCCTCCCCTGGGCCGGGAGGGGTGGAGCCAGGGTGTCAGCAACAGGAAGGCGTTTGGAGAGCTGAAATGAGCGATTCCTGGGGGTGACCACCAGGGGGCAGGCGTGGCCAACCAGGCTCCAGTGCTGTTTCCAGCCGCAGGGGGAGGGTAGGAGACAGGAGGACCAAGGCTCTGTGCCTGGGCTGGGAGTACCCCCGCCCCCGTTTCCCCAGGTCAAAGAGTAGGGCCCCGACTCCTGGGGAGTCTTGACTCACGTGGCAGCCCCCTCCATGGTGAGTGTGGCTCCTACGGACGGCTGTGGGGTTTGTCCCCTCTGTCCTCTCTGGGCGACTGTCCCTCTAAGTATGGAAACTCATTCTCCAAAGAGTACCCAGGAGCCCCTTATGTACGAGTGGGGGGGTGTCTAGGAGCCCTGCTCTGGGATGGGGCCCACAGCTTTCATTATTCTCAGAGAGGATGGGAGCCAGGGTTAGGGTCAGTGAGGCCCAGAGGAGAGGCCTGACCCTCATGCTCCACCCCACTTCTAACTACCGCCTGCGGGCTCCATGCGGCCACCCTGCACCCCAGTCAAGGGCCAGGGTCCGAAACGGTCATCTTTATTCTGCCATCAGAAAACAGAAGTCTCCGTGCTGGTTAAGTTACTCATCTTATTAACAAAATAAAGCACTATCTATGTTTACAGTCATAGAAAAGAAACAGCCTGGATGGCAGCGGGGGCGGGGCAGGCACAGACTCCACCCCTTCCCCCTCCCCAAGCTGGGGCTGTCCACATCTTTGGAGTTAGGTGCCAGTGGGTTTTGATTCAGATCAGGGAGGGGTAGCAGGAGCCCAGGGTGAGAGAGGACGAAGCCCACCCTTCTGAGAATGGGGACCCCCACTCCGTGCCCACAAGGGGGCAGTGGAGACCAGCTGCCCTGCAGCCCCTGGCCACGGCCTCTGGGGGGCACCAGGAATCCTCTCAGCCCCGCTCCTGGGACTCAGGTTGGGACCAGGGGCTGGGCCACCGTCCCTGCTGTGCAGAGCTAAAAATGGTTCCATGGGAACTGGCCGGCAGAGCCAGGGAGGGAATGTCAGGGAGGCTGAGGGGCAGGGGTCCCCCAGGGACAGAGCGACAAGGACACACACAGGAACACGGGACCTGAGACACAGAGACCGACAAGGAGGTAGCCGTTTGGGACAAAGAGGAGCACGGAGCCAGGCAGCTGCGAGAGTCCCCTGGGAACCCCGCGGCCGCTCCACTGTGGACACTCAATAAATACCTTGCGCAATGAAGGGACCGATGTGCACACACAGGGACAGCCAGGGGCAGGGCGGGGTCAGGCGGTGGAGGAGCCAGTGTTGGGCCAGCCAGGACAGGAGTGGAAGCAAAGCAGTGACCTCGGGGGGCTGGGGGTGTAGCTACCACACCCCCAGGTAGGCAGAGCCGCAGGAGACGAAATCATCCAGTGCCCGCTGGCCAGGGGCTCAGCCCACTCGGCCCATCTGCACCTGGCAGGCCCCGCCCACCCAGGCCAGAGGTGTGGTGGGGGAAGGGTCTCCCTCACGAATTTATCTACAAACGCACAGCTCCGCCCGTGCCCCAGGCACATCCAAGGCCAAGTACCAACTCAGTCCGGGTCGGCCGGCTGTGCCAGGGGGCGGGGTCAGTCCGTGAGCACCACCAGCTCCGAGTCACTCTTGTCGCCCTCGGAGTCGTCGTCCTCGCTGTACCTGCACACCTCGCCGTCGGCCGCTGAGTGCCGCTCGTCCGCCGCCTCGCCCTCCTCCCGGAGGCTGCAGGTGTTCACGATGACTGGCATGTTGGGGTCCAGGCTCGGGGGCACGTAGTGCTCCACCAGCGACTGTGCCAGGGGCATCCCCGCCGCCCGGGGGTACAGGACGTCCGAGGAGCTCAGCTGCACCTGGCCGGCCTGCGGACTGAGGGGCGGGGAAGAGGCGTGGTCACAGCACACAGCCCCGCCCCTCAGGGGCGGGCCCTCCTACCGACCCCACCCCCCTCCTGACTCCAGGACTCACACACCCAGTGTCCTGCTCTGCTTCCCGATGGCCAGATTCAGCTACGGCCCCGAAGACAGCTCTGCACACCCAGGCCCAGGGGTGCATGCAACAGAGAGTATTCTCGGAGGACTGCACATGAATCTGATTTTTAGAAAGTGTATATTTTAAATGCCCTGGAGACCTCTGTTTAAAGGAAGCCACTGGGGTGCGTGCTGTGGTCCTGCTAGGAATCCTGCATGATGAGTAGCCTGGTCCTTAGTCCCCCTGCAGGTGGGATCTACAGGCCCGTGCCCCGGCTCACGCACCCTCGGCCACCATCGCCCCCGGAGTCGCACACGCACACGGCACTCCCGAGGCACGCACGCACGCGGGGCGGGGCCTGCTCACGGGATCACGTAGCTCTGGCGGGCGTCCTGGCGCCGGGTCCGCATCAGGGCCTTGTACTCGCCCACGCGCAGCCGCTTGCCCTCCACGATGCACGTGCGCTTGGGCCGCGGCTTGTACTTGTAGTCGGGGTACTTCTCCAGGTGCTGCCGGCTCAGCCGCGCCTGTTCCTCGTAGTAGGGCTGCTTCTCCTGGTTGCTCATGGACTTCCAGCGGGAGCCTGGCCCAGCCGCGGAGACAGGCAGGCAGGCAGGCGGTCAGGGCTGGGCACTGAGGCCCCCTGCCAGCCCCCTGCAGGCCCCAAGGACAGCCTGGGCCCCGGGAGGGGTCCACAAGGTACTACTGGGGCGTGGCCCCGCGTGTGTGGGTCTGAGGGCCGGGCGGACCAATGAAGGCAGCTTAGGGCTCGGCAGCTGCCCACATCCCAAACCACCCAGCGGCTTCCCAGAGGCCTCTGGGCTGCCTCATTTGCATTAACAAAATAGCAGCCACCCCAGGCCCCCAGCAACCCAGTCGGGGTCCCCGCCCAGAACACCTGCTGTCTCAGTGGACGCTGGAGGAGCCCAGTCTTGAAACAACTGCCCTGGTCTATGTCTGTCCCGTCTCCCTCCCTCCGAGGTCTCCAGGCTGGGATTTAGAAACCTCTCCACCGAGGGCCCAGGAATACCAGCTTCCCCTGTCCCCTGCCAGGGCCAGCTCTGAGGGTGCGGGTAGGCGCGATGGTTAGGGAGAGACCAGGGCCACGCACATCCTCTCTTTGAGTTCTCAAGAACAGATGCTCTGCAGTGCTGCAAGACCCCAGAACCCAGCTGCCCCCACATCCCCGACTCCTGCATCCCCATCACACCCCCCTGGGGACCCCCGTGGCATGGAGGAGCCTCAGGCAAGCCCCAAGCAGAGCCGGCCGGCCCCCGCAGCAGGGCCCTGCCGGCTCTCACCGAGGATCTTGCTGATGCTGGAGTTGTGCATGTCCGGAAAAGCTTGCAGGATCTTCCTGCGCTCGTCCTTGGCCCACACCATGAAGGCGTTCATGGGCCTCTTGATGTGGCTGCTGTTCCGGGACTCCGGGAAGGGGCGGGAGCCTGGGAACAGAGATCGAGGGGTGGGGCTGAGTCCTCCAGCAGAGGTGCGCCCTGCTTGACCACTAGGAGGCGCTGAGGAGGCTCCCATAGCCGCCAGCCCCGGACGAGGGTGTGCAGGAAACCAGAGGCAAATTATCAACACAGACCCTGGAGAGACCCTGGGCCCCTCGGAGGGGAGGGGGAGGCCCGGCCGCCTCAGAGGAGCAAGTGAGGCCCACGGGCCAGTGCAGGCAGAGTGCGGGGGACACGCGGGAGCCCTCACCATCCACGTCGCAGCTCAGCATGGCTTCCTCCAGGGGGTGCACACAGCTCTCCTCCAGCCGCTCCTTGGCTGGGGACGAGTCCAGGTTGATGAGGTCCTGGAGTCGACAGGGGCAAAGAATACAGCGGCCCCTCGGCGCCACCCTGGCCCTCTCCCCAAAGTCCACGTCGTCCACCCCTGGCCACACCCACTCCTGCCCAAGGGGACGGGGGAGCACAGCCCCGTACCTTACGGAAGGGGGCGCTGGGGGCACTTTCCAAGGCCCCGCCGTGGCTGTGCAGCAGCTGCCGGGCGTCTTGGATGGCTTTGGTGACCGCATCCCCCTCACCGAGGAAGCCTGGGGGGGGGGTCAGGGAGCTGAGGGGGCGCTCAGGTTGAGCCCACACTCGCCTCCCCTCGCCACGCCTCTAGTCAGCATCTCTGGGAGATGTAGCACTGTGCCTGCGGGGTGGCGCGCACACACCTGTGGGCTAGAAACCGTTTGCGACCCCTGGCCCTGTGCCACCAGCAGCCTGCATCCCTGCCGCTGACGCCGGCACAGTCCAGCCCCTTGTTCTATTAACCTGGACGCCAGAGCCGGGAAGGAGGGCACCAAGGAGTGTTCCCGGGCCCTGGAAGGAGGTGGGTGGAAAAAGGGTGTTGGTAGAAGCTTACCGAGAGGCAGGCTCGGGGGGCTGGCCTGCAGGTCGCGGGTGGGGGCCCCGTGGCTGGGCGGGCGGGGGCCACAGCTGCTCATCTTTAGGCTGGGGGAGCTGGAGGCGCTGGACAGCTCGGGGGCCTTGGGCTTGGCTGTGAGGTTCAGGGGCTGGGAGGGCTCCTGAGGTTAGGAGATGGGAGAGGAGGGGACAGCCAGGTGAGACAGGCACACCCAGACCAGACGAGCAGCCACGAGAGGTACAGACAGAGCAGGCTTGCCAGCCGGCAGTACCTGCAGGGGGAGGTGGGCGGCCACAGCCCCGGGCCTCTTCACTGCAGGGGCGGGTGGGCTGTGCAGCAGCTGCAGCGGGTACTCCACTGTGGAGAAAAGCCCCGGATGAGCACACCACAGCGGAGGCCGCTGGACAGGGCCCTGGCCCTGGAGGCGGGCAGAGGCTCGGTCGGAGCCGCCCAGCCTGCCACTGCCCCTGCCTTTTCCACCCCAAATCCTGGCTGCACCTGCTTCCCCACGCTCCTGCCCTTCCTGGCCCACTCTGAACTGCCGAGGATTTGTTAGGCCTACTGTGTGCGTGGCATCTCCTGCACGTACTCACGGTGTGTGGCAGAGATGAGGCTGTCGCTGTTGAATCATCTCGTGGTGCAGGTAAGGAAACTAAGACCTCAGACGGCAACGGGCTGCCCAAGGAGCCAGTAAACAACAGCAACGGGATTTGAACCCGGGTCCTCCAGACTCCACAGCCCATCCTTCCTCTCTGCCTAGCCCACCTCACCCTCCACCAGCCCAGTGTCCAGGAGTTGACAGTTCAGGTGGTGAGATAAGCCTGGGGACACACCAGCACCTGCATGGCAGGTGGCCCCGAGGGCGGTATGCCTGGGGACTTTGCTCAGCTAGGGTGCCTGGGGCAGGCTTCCCGGAGGAGGGGGCCTGCAGGCTAGGTGGCTTCAGAGAGGTGGAGAGGAGGGAGCATGATGAGCGAGAGAGTGGGAGGCGGGGCCAAGACGGGCAAGGTCAGCTCCAAGGCTTGTGAGCCACGGAGGGCGGGACTCAGAGCAGCTGGGGGGCAGCCTGCAGCCCCGCCGCCAACAAGCTTACCTCCCGGCACCTGTTCCAGAAGGCACTCTGTGGCCCTCCCCAGCCAGGGCGAGGCCCCATCCTCCACCTCCCTCCAGGCCCCAGGCGCCACCACTGCCCCCCCCCCCCCCCCATCTACCTGGTAAACCTCCTTCCTCACGGCTGCCTGCCGGGGCCTGCTCTCACAGGGCAAACACAGTTTTGCTTCCCACAGACTTGGGGGCCCTGCTCCAGAGGAGCAGCCCCTCCCGTCTCACCCACACCTGATTTCAGGGACCCTGAGATAGGACTCGCTCAGACTTGGGGAGGGAGGGAGCGTAGGTGTCCGGCACAGCCAACAGGGTGCCTGCAGCCCGTACCCGAGCGCCCAGGTTTGGGACCTGGCTCTGATCCTGACCAGCTTCCTGCTAATGCACACCCTGGGAGGTGCAGGTGATGGCTCAAGCGCTTGGGCCCCGGGGAGACCCGGACTGGGTCTGGGCTCCTGCCTTCAGCCTGGCCCGGCCCCAGCTGTTGTGGGCATCTGGAGAGTAAACTGACAGATCAAACCTCTCTCTTTCCCTTTGCTTTTCGAATGAATAGAAATTTTCTAAAAAGACTCTGGGCCTCACTGTCCACTCTGCCTGTCAAAAAAAAAAAAAAAAAAAAAAGACTCTGGGGGCTGATGGGAAGGAAGGGATGCATTTTACATGTGAGAGCAAGAACGGGGGGTGGGGCAGAGCTGCACTCTGAATGTCTGAATGTTACCACCCCGCGAATCCCTGGAGTACAGGCTATACTGCCCAAGGTCATGTGACAGGAGGTGGCCAGGTCACGGGAACTTGTCTCTCATGAAGGGACCAGCACCCTTATGAGGGGCCTGAGAGGGGGCCTGTGCCGTGGCGTGGCGTGGCAGGTGAAGCTGCCGCCTGCAGTGCTAGCATCCCATGCGGGCACCGGTTTGAGTCCCAGCTGCTCCATTTCTGATCCAGCTCACTGTTATGGCCTGGGAAAGCAGAAGATGGTTCAAGTCCTTGGGCCCCTGCACCTACGTGGGAGACCTGGAGGAAGCTCCTGGCTCCAGATCAGCATAGCCCCAGCCATTGCAGCCATCAGGGAAGTGAACCAGCAGATAGAAGACCTCTCTCCCTCTCTCTGCGTCTCTGTAACTCTGCCTTTCAAATAAAGAAGTAAGAGGTGCCTGGGGGAGCCTGTGCACCCTCCCACCAAGGTGCAGGCCTGCACCTGACACCCTTGTGGAATGGGGAGGGGGGGCTCGTGCTCCCGGGGCCATGGTGGCGGCTTCTCTGCCTCTCCCAGTCAGTAACCCTACAGCCCTCTCCGTCCTCACCGCCCTGATCAGGGGTCATCCGCGCCACTGGGATCGTCTCAGCCACCCCTGGCGGTCCTGCCTGCAGCCTGTCCGCCCTCCTCTCCCTACCACCCCAGCACACCCACTCCCCAAAAGTCCAGGCGCACCCTGCATCCCACAAGCACATCCCAGACCCGGCCACGGCCACACTGCCCGCACCTCCCTGCCTGGCCTCAGTCCCACCTTCTCCCTGACCAGTCCACCCAGTGCTGTACACACGCCACCTCCAGAAGCCTTCCCAGACTCCCTGGTGACGGCTATATTTTCCCCTCCCCAGACTACCTCCTTGGGTTCAAAGTTCATACCGTACCCCCCACGCCCCCCCCCCACCTGCTGTGTCTGACACGAGGTCAGTTTGTCTGAATTTCAATGACGGGTTCGGGCAGGGACAATGTGGTTGGGGAATGGCAGCGCTGGCACTGGGGAGATGTGTGACCCTCGGTTCACGTTCCAGCAGGGTACCTGTACCCTGGGGAGATGAGGCCAGGACTCTAGACTGTCCCCTTACACCTGGGAGGCCTCCGTGGTGGTGAGTGACGTTCAGAGAGAAGGGATATGGACCCCAGCAAGGCCCAGGAAGGCCACTCGGCCAGTTAATGGGCATGAACGGTTCCAGGCTCCCTCCCCGGCCTCAGTGGCTGAGCCTCCACCCCACACTCACCTGGTTTGCAAGGGATGGGCTGGATGGGCAGGGCTAGCTGGGAGTCGGGGGCGACAGGCAGAGGCTGGTGGCTCGGCGGGAAGGCTGGGATCATGACGTAAGGCATGTTGACCTGCTAGAGACGCGGCCTGGGTGAGTCCCTGCAGCCCGAGGAGCCGCCCAGCTGAGCCCACGCCACCCCCGCTGTGTACCTGCCCTCGAGTCTTAGCTGGGGAGGGTGACGTTCTGGAACCCTCCATTAATAGGGAACCAGGGGTGGGGGTGAGGGCTCAAGCAGAAGTTGAGGGCCCCCTCCTCAGGCCCGAGCAGGTCTGCCCTGGGCAGCCTGCACCCGCGCCCACGCCGGCGGCGCTCCCCGGGTGCCCGCTCGTCACCTGGATCTGCTGCTGCAGGAGGTTGATCTTGTGCTGCTGCTGGATCAGCTGCTGCTGCTGCTTGGCGATCTGGAAGACGGCGGCACGTGGGCCAGGGGGCCAGGGGGCGCGGACCACCGCCCCAGCCTGCCCCTGCCTGCCCCTGCCTGCCAGCCCGAGGCCGGCCCTGCAGGAGGAGCCGGGAGAGGAAGGGGCTCTCCCGCTTTGGGGCACCCACCCCCTTGAGAGCCAGGCAGGAAACCGTGCACGGCTCCTCCCACGCTGCAGCTCCAGGCCAGGGGAGGTGGGAGGCCCGCCGGCCGGCCCTGGAGCCCCTCCCCGGGCCGAGGGAAGCCGCGGGGGCCCACCTGCTCCTGCTGCTGCCGGGCCAGCTCCATCTGCTGCTGCTGCTTCTCGAACAGCATGGCAGCCATGTTCTTCTGCTCCGAGTGCGCGGTCAGCAGCTGGTCCCGCAAGGTGGACAGCTGGTGGATCATGACCAGGAGCTGCAGCTCCTTCTCCGCCAGGCTCTCCTGGGTCCCTGCTCCACAGCGAAAGGGCCCCCAGGGACATTTTAGGCTGTCCACGCACCTGTCCACGCAACATTCACTGAGCAACTGCTCTGTCCCAGACACCTGTTAGGGGCTCAGCCACAGAGATGGAGACCTGTGATTCGTTTCCTAGAGGGGCTCATCTAGGAGCTGGGACGACGAGCTGGCCTGCAAGGCCCCCACCATCCCACCGATCCCAGGCCCTGGAGCTGCCGGTGTGGGCATCTCTGCCCCACCTCCTTGAGTGCCCAGTGCCACGGGGTCAGGGTGGACACCCGTCCCATAGAAGGGCCAGCAGGACACACTCAGGCTTTGCAGATGGGTCTGGGTCACAGAGAGATCTTCCACCTGCTGGTTCACTCGCCAAATGACTGCAACAGCCAGGACTGGGCCAGGCAGAAGCCAGGAGCCAGGAGCTCCACCTGGGTCTCCCTTAAGAGGGACCAGGGCCCAAGGATTTGGGCCATCTTCCACTGCTTTCCCAGGCCCATTGACAGGGAGCTGGATCGGAAGTGGAGCAGCCATGGCTCGAACTGGCACTCACAGAGGATGCTGGTATCATAAGCAGCAGCTTCATTAGCTACACCATGGCGCCAGCCCCAACTGGGGCAAAAATCCCTGCCTACAGGCGGCCCTCCACAAGGTCAGGGTAATAGAAAAGCTATGTGCAGATTTCAAAACATAAATGTGTCTCTTTAACTCCATTTTCCACACGCTTCTACAGCAGCCTCATGACCATGGCACAGGGCTAGCAGGAGGATCAACGGCGCTGATGGACAGAAGGCCTGGTCCCCAACCAGTGCACAACGGGCTGCGTCCCCACCCTGCAGCACAGCGTCTGTCCGATACCACAGTGTGTTCCCGGGCCCAGGCCCCCATCCCGCGGGGTTCTTGCTGAGAAGGTGGGGCCCAGGCATCGGCCTCGCGGTAAAGCCCCTCCGTGGGTCACTCTGAGGAATCCCGGCTGTAACCCTTTAATATAACTGTGCCAGGGCCGGTGCTACGGCATAGAGGGTAAAGCCACCACCTGCGGTGCCGGCATCCCATGTGGACGCTGGTTCGAGACCCGGCTGCTCCTCTTCCGATCCAGCTCTCTACTATGGCCTGGGAAAGCAGTAGAAGATGGCCCAAGTCCTTGGGCCTCTGCACCCACGTGGGAGACCCGGAGGAAGCTCCTGGCTCTGGATTGGCGCAGCTCCAGCCGTTACAGCCATTTGGGGAGTGAACCAGAGGATGGAAGACTTCTCTCTCTCTGCCTCTGCCTCTCTGTAACTCTGCCTCGGTCACTCCGTGGGGGCCTGGTGGCCTAGAACTCCTTATGGGCGGTGAGAGGAAACTTGTCACCCCTAGGAAGGGGCAGTGATGAGCCCGAAGCCACAGGGTCCCCGGGAAGTAAGAGGCCAGTGGCCCACATAGTGACGAGGGCCATGCAGGGGCGGGCATGAGGCACCAGGACGTTCCGGACCGGGTGTGTACGGCCAGGCTCGGCCGGGAACGGCGCTCGGGCATCTCCCACCGCCCCGCCCCGCTCTCACCTTTGACATCTTTGGCTTCCACAGAGCTCCTTCCTAGAAACCTCTCCCTCCAGTCACTGGACAGCAGCTTCTCGATGGCCGGCACCACTGCAAGACAGTGAGGGTGTGAGGAGTGGGCTGGGTCACACACGGGCCACCCCTCCCTGGGCCCGGCCCCGCCCACCCTGGCCGAAGCCTGCACGCCCTGGCCCCGCCCCTCCCTGGGCCCGGGCCAGCCCCCCCAGCCCCCCCTCCCTGGGCCGGCCCCTCACCTTCCTTCAGGTTCTGGCTGAAGTCCAGCTTCTGGCTTCCAGTTGCAGCCTCCAAGGCTGCAGGTCTCTTGGGATCTGGGGACCCATCACTCCGTGGAGAGCCACAGTCCTACAAGCCAGAGTGAGGGGCGCTGTGCAGGGGGGCAGGCCGCAAGAGGGCCAGGCACCCCAGAGGCTCACCTGGGGGGCCCTGGACTCCACTGGGGCCCCGCTGCTCGCAGGGCCCTCCTGATACAGACCTGGCTCTGAGCAGGCTCAGTGACTCCCCCCAGGCCGCTGCACCTCTCTGAACCTGACTTCCTCAGTGCCTCCACTGGCACAGGACCGGGACCCTGCGGGAGCGAACGCACGGGGTGTGGTTTGCTCCTCACAGGCGGGGCCTCCTTGTACACCTGCTACTCCAGCCGCTGCCTCCCACAGGGCCCCCCCTTCTCCTCGCTATTCTAAGCCCCCCATCTTTAAGGTGCAGCTTGAGGCTCTCCTCCTCCGGGAAGCCTTCCAGGTCACCATATACACTCTTCTAGGCCAGATTCCTCCTATGAGCCCCAGACCCTCATTTTCACTGGCTTGGCTTTGATTACCCGTTCCCTTTCTCCACCTCCTGCCTGGAATCGCAGAATTCCCAAGAGCTGCAAGGATCCGTGTCAATGATGTAATTCAATTCCCCTCACTATAAGGGTGAGGAACCCAAGGTTCTTTCACAGCGAATGAATTTAGCTGATTCTTCTCAAATCTAAGGCTGAACTCTGAGCACGTGTACCCCATCCCCCATCAAGGACTGGGACACCGGGGGAGCAGGCACTAGCAGGCAGGGGGTGGGGCAGGAGTGAGTCTCCTGGCAGGTGACCTGGCTTCCAGCCCCGGCCTGGACTCAGCAGGCCTGCCCTCGGCCCCTAGAAGTCCCTGCCACCTGAACCTGCACCTGCTCCCAGCTAGGGGAGCAGAGGCCCAGGATGGCGCGTGGGGCGAGGCCAGAGGCAGGGCCGGGTACCTGCGCTGGAGGCTGGGGCTCAGCACCCTCCTGCGGCTGGGGCGCGCGGGCTGGGTCTGCAGACTGGGGCTCCTCCTCGGTGGCTGCGCCCAGGGGGACCTCATGACCAGGCTCCTTCCTCTCCTCTGACTTGATGGTGCAGTTCACCATGGTGCCGCCGCCATCTGGGGCCAGCTGGGCAGAGTCGGGGCTCCTCATGGACATCCTGGGGGGATGGACAGAGTGAGTGAGACCTGCAGCCAGCCACAGATGCTTTTGGAGGGGTGGGGGCAGAGGCAGGAGTGTCCCCTCTGCCACACCAGCGCCTCCTGGCGCCCCCTAAGCAGGCTTGGACACACAGAACACAGCCTGCCTCAGGAGGCTACAGAAAAACCAGCAAAGGCCCATCTCTCCCTCAGGCTGTGCTGCCAATTAAATAGAGGGGTCCCTGCCTGTGGCAAAGTGGGGGTACCGGCTGCAAGGTGCACTCAGGAGCCCAGGGATTGCTCTGTTTGTCAAACTTGCTCTCGTCTGTTTATTTGAAATGCAGAGAGACAGAGATCTTCCACCTGCTGGTTCACTCCCCAAATGCCAACACCTAGAACTGGGACAGGCTACAGCCAGGAGCTCCATCCAGGTCTCCCACGTGGCTGGCAGGGACCCAAGTCCTCGAGCCATCACTGCAGCCTCCCAGAAAGCTGGAGTCAGGGGCAGAGCCTGGACTTGAACCCAGGCCCTCCCGTATGGGACATGGGCGTTTCAAGTGATGCCTTAACCACTCACTGCACCATACGCCACCCCTGAGGTCGGTGTTGTGTGCAAACACACAGTTACCAAAATTTAAGAAGCCAAAAGCTAGCGAACTAGAAATCGGGACTGTTGTGGCAAAAACCGGCGGTAATTGAGGCCAATGCTGTGGCATAGTGGGTTAAGCCACTATCTACAGTGCTGGCATCCCCTATGGGTGCTGGTTCGAATCCCAGCTGCTCTGCTTCTGATCCAGCTCCCTGCTAATGCACCTGGAAAAAGCAGTGGAAAATGGCCTAAATCCTTGGGCCCTTGCACCCACATGGGAGACCCAGAAGAAGTTCCAGTCTCTTGGTTTCTGCTTGGCCCAGCCCTGGCTGTTGCAGCCATTTGGGGGATGAACCAACAGATGAAAGACTTCTATCTCCCCCCTAACTCTTTCAAATACATAAATAAATAAATAAATCTTAAAAAAAAAAAAAAAAACCTCACTATAATTGAGTAGCAGGTGCAGGCCAGTTTGCCTTAGCTCCTACCACTCCCTACTAACCCCCAAAAGAAAGCCAAGTACCAACTACCCTTTATGAGACATTGATGCTTTTTTTTTTCCTTATAGTAAAGATAAGACAAAAGTAAAATGTTGCCTACATATTTCTACCAAAAGTAGGGGAATAACAGGCTAGGAGATGAACAGTTCAACAAAACCGTTTCTGACGCCTTGTTCTGTCTGGCCCCCGTGGCCACTTGAATTTGCAAGCCCTGCTTTAAGCACCAGCATTCCTGCAGCTGCTCCCACCCCTGGCTGGGTGATGAGACAGTGAGCAGCCACAGCATCTCAGGGAGCGGCTTCCATCCAGGGCCACACCAGGCTTGGGGCCGGAGAAGTAGACGCCTACCCTCCCTCACAGAACACACGGCAGGTGCGACCATGCGTTCGTTCTGCCTTGGGTGCTGGGTCAACCAGGTGACCTCAGGCAAAGGCTGCTTAGCACCCCCACACCATGGCATCCTCATTTGTAAAGGGAGCACCAGAGTTCCAACCTCACAGTGGGCGTGAGGACTGTGAGTGCAAAGTTCAAGGCACTGGAAGCATTTGTCAACTCACTGCCAGCTGCGCTCCTGGGCAGTTGTCCCTGGTACCCATGGGAGGCTGGCTCCAAGACTCCCCAGGGTGCCAAAATTGAGTGCTCAAGTCTCCTGTGTGACCTGCACAGCTTCCCTCTAGGCTAGACCACTAGTAACACCTTGTACAATGTAAGTGCTTTGTACAGAGTTGTTACACAGTCACAATCTCTGATGGGCCGGGGATCCAGGTAGAGCTGCATTGTGCAGTAAGAGCCTCCAACACTCGGTTACATAGTTGCAGTGTGCCCCTCAGTGTTGACATGTTGGAAATCTAATCTGGAACACTGGGCTCTTGCTTAGTGGAGGGGAAGGGGAGAGATGGAGAGAAGGGGAAGGGAGTGGGGAGGGAGTGGAGGGAGAGAGAAAAACAGCTCAGCAGGGCCCCGCCCCTATGCACAGGCCACTGCCCTGTATCTCAGGACAGCAGGTTGTCCCAACTGGGTTCTTGCTCCCTAGTCCTTCCACCTTCTGCCATGGGATGAGGTGGCTTCTAAGACCCGATGCCTTCCCAGGCTCCAGGGTGATGAGAAATAAATCTCTGTTCTTTTCACCACTCAGCGGAGGCAGACAAGGAGACAGGAAGGCTAGACAAGAGTGGGATGGGAGGAACAGGTGCTGCGGCCCATGGCACAGGAGGGTGGCACAGCAGATGGCCATAGCTCACCAGAACCAGCTGCACGGCGTGAAACTTGAAAAAATGACGTTGCAGGAAATCGGCTCCCCACGTACACGGACTGGACTATCACAGCCTCTCCCCGGGTACCCCACAAAAACGCGCAGTTAACATTGGAAAGCGGCCTAGGCTGGGCAGAAGCACAAGGCGGGGCGAGCGGGCGGCAATTACACGTTGAGGGGAGGCTCACGGTAGAAATCAGAGGGAGTGAAAGGTCCCGTGTCAGACCGCAGGCACGGCGGGACGAGGGCGGCACCCTTCGCGCAGGGCACACATTCCAGGACCCCAGACGCACCTGACACCACACACTGCGTAAACCCTGCTTTTCCCACACCTTCACCCACAGGCTGCCCGCCTTTCCCACGCCACCCCAGCACTTGACACGCGTGGCGCCTGCAACTGTGGCAGTTTGAGATGTGACAGCCAACCTAGCGTGGGTTTCTTTTTCCTTTTTTGCCACACTACGGACAATTCATTCTTTCTGTAGCTCTTAGGCAACTTCAACCTACAGGCGTTTTTTTCCTTATGAGATCAAGGACTTCTACCTGTGGCTGACAGGCGGGGCTTCAGTTTCTCCCAGCATGCCCCATGCCAGCACCACGGCTGCAGAGCTCCGAGCCCTTATCAAGTAAAAGGGCTGCTGTGCCACCAGCACTGTGGCATCGGACAGCAGAACTGGAAACCAACGCGGCTACTACAGGACTTAGGATGGCAGGGGTGGATGCTCCAGGCCCAGGCGGGACGTACGCCAGACAGTGCGGGATTTCATCACTACCCAGAACGGTGCGAAATTTAAAACTAACTTAGGAGTTATTTCTGGAATTTTCCATTTAACATGTTTGTTCCGAGCCACCCACAGGGAACTAAATCTCAGACAAGGGTGGGACCAGGGTGACGCTGTCCCCTGTATTCCATGAACCCTGTGAACAGCAAAATCTGCAGGTGCCCAAGTTCTCTTTATAAAACACATGGTATTTCCATGTGACCCACACACACCCTCCTGTGTAGCTGACACTTTTTTTTTTTTGACAGGCAGAGTGGACAGTGAGAGAGACAGAGAGAACGGTCTTCCTTTTTGCTGTTGGTTTACCCTCCAATGGCCGCCGCGGCCGGCGCATTGCGCTGATCCGAAGCCAGGAGCCAGGTGCTTCTCCTGGTCTTCCATGGGGTGCAGGGCCCAAGCACTTGGGCCATCCTCCACTGCACTCCTGGGTCATAGCAGAGAGCTGGCCTGGAAGAGGGGCAACCGAGACAGAATCCGGTGCCCTGACCAGGACTAGAACCTGGTGTGCCGGCGCCACAAGGCAGAGGATTAGCCTATTGAGCCACAGCGCCAGCCCGACACCTTATCTTTTAAAAATGCATTTGAAAAATGGGGTGTGGCGGGGAGAGGGGGATCTTCCACCTGCTGGTTCACTCCCCAAATACCTGCAACAGCCAGGGCTGGGCCAGGCTGAAGCCAAGAGCCCTGAACTCAACCCAGGTCTCTCACATGGTCACAAGACCCTGTGGACTTGAGCCAGCACCTGCTGCCTCCCAGGTGCAGTGGGAGGGAGCTGGATTGCAAGTGGAACAGCCAGGACTTGAACCAGGACCCTAACATGAGATGCAGCACACCAAGCAGCAGGGTAACAAGCTGCGCCCCTCTCTCTAGGTCATTTCTAATACCCAGTGTAATGGAAATACTACGTAAACAGTTATGCTTCACGGTTTAGGGTAGAATGGCAATCTGTACCCGCTGGGTACAGATGTGATTTTTTCTTAAACGTCTTCTGAGGCCGGCTGTCTCAGCCGGCATGGGACACACAGGTTTGCTCCACGTTGGCTCTGCAGAGGCGGCTGGACAGACCACATCAAGTGAGGGAGGGCGCACACGCTGGCATTCGGGCTGGAGTAACTCAGAGAGCGGTACAGCCGAGTGAGATAGCCATGGCCCCTTCACCGGAACCCACCCTGCAGATCGGGCTAGGCAGTGCTGCCCACCCACTCTCAACGCAGGACCCAGGATGGACCATGGCAGGGTGAGGGCCAAGGGCACTCCCTGACCCTAAGAATGCTGGCCTCATCCCACTTAGATGAAAAGAGAAATCAGCTCACCACCCTGGGGCCCCCTCCCACCAGACAGGGGGCCATGAGGGTATCCTGGAGTGCCTCCAGGAGGCGGCACAGCTCATCCGGGCTTGGGAGGGGCAGGAGCCAGGCCCCGGGCCCGGGGGCAAGGAGTGGGGGTGGGGGAGGCAGGGAGGGGGTATTATCCTGAAGCTGAGGGCAGCAATTACATAACAAACAAACCCTGGGCTCAAGCTGTGAATTAATCAAACCGCTGAAAATAAAACCTTCCTCTCAGGAACTTCAGACAAAAGAAATGAAAACAACCAGGCTGGCTGGAAAATAAAAGGCAGCAGCACTGACCGGGGACAAAGGAAGCCGGACAATAGGGTGCTGGACAAAAGCAATAAAGCCAAAGGAAGTGTGACAGGCACACAATGCGGGCCTGTGGGCTTCTGATCCCCGGCTGGCCTGAGCCAGCGCGTCCCACACCCTCCCGGCCGCGCCTCCTCGCTCCCCACTTGGGTCCTGAGCCATCTCTCCTTCACTCAGCCCCGGCTCCACGGCCCCCTGGCTCCTACCTCAAAGTCTTTCTTCCTACCCAGAGACCACCCCGCCCTGCAGTGGACCCG